TTTTTTAGGTTCAACACACGCAATTAATTTTTCAAGTAATTCTCTCCACAAAGCGAATTGTCTTTTTCTTGTAAATTCGTTGTCGAATTTTCCGCTGTTCATTTTCTTATTATTTTCTATATATGTTACTAATATTTCTTTTTGTTCTTCGCTTATTTTTTAAAATAAAACATTCGAGGTTTTCATTTTGTTTCTGCGTACTATATTGCCATAAGACAACTTTTAACTTTAGCACGTGTAAACTAATTCGCGTTGATTTGTTTACAACTTGTTACAGTTAAGTTGATTGGTCGAATCATTATAGTCGCAAACCCAGATGCATTGTAAATAATCCCATCATGCTTATCGACAAACGTAAACAAGTGAATATGACCTACTTCCGCTCGCCTTTCGAGTTCGCTCGAAGGGTCTAACTCGAGACTACCGATTATGTGAGTCATAGGAACACGAGTGAGTTCGATGACGTCAGTTCGAGTACAACACGAAAAACTCGAGACTAAGGGCCCAGGGTGGAGTGCCCCCAAGAAGGTGAACACGCATTGGTGTCTCCTATTATAAGTAGAGGCCCTTTGTACAAGTTATGCAAAATGCTCTCGAGTTCACTGAGAAAAGTATTCATGTCATCACCCTTAGGGCATAGAAATTTACATTTATTACCAGGCCCGAAACACTGATCTCTAAGCAGATGAAATACTCTGAGCTGAAATTTGGATGGTAGACAATTGGGAGGTTTTCGTCGGGGACAACAGCGACCACCCAAGGCCTAGAGCAACCACTGGAGAGAACTTTATGATTAGTGCAGAAACAGGACATCTTGTTTCCCACTCAGTAAGGTTCTTGTAGAATGGCTAGGTTGTAATTTCTGTCAATAGATGCCAGTTGGGATGTAGCAGCAATTGAGTGCTGGAGATTTATTTGATAAATTCTAATATTACAGATGTTATTGGCACTAAATTCCATAATCTGTTCTTGCTATTAATTGGTTTCTAATGTGTTTAAAAATGGTGCATTTTTATCCCAGGCATTGTGGTTGTCAGTAAGCTTCTCCCTGCAGCAGTTGATGCATTTACTTAGTGAAATCCAAAAAGTCTGGTACTCACTAAAAGTGCATTGAAAGACGAATCCAATGATGCATGGTAATCCACTGTAACACAAGAAATTACGGAAAAAACACGATTGATAAACGGAGCAGATGTGTACACTACTATCCGTGCTGGAACATCGAACCCTCAACCTGACCAATTACTAATCAATGAAACAATACAACTATAATTCTTCTAATTAAAAAAATCCAGAAACAAGTTGTTTAACTTTCCTGGAAACATTTGGTGGCACTATTATAATATTTTATTTAAAAACTTTTATATTTTTAACCATTGTAAAATGGCATAGAGCTTAATTTTGGGGATAGGGATGTTTTATAAAAAAAAATTGTAAATGCTAATAATGAGTAAAATCATCATTAAGTCTGACCCTACTGAAGATACAATTCCCCTTATCTCCCCACCTCCTTGACCTTTAACCACCAAAATTTAATAGCATCAATCCTCTTAATAAACAAACCTCCCTGCAAAATTTCAGAAATTTTTGACTAAAAGCACAGGAGTTATTAAGCTTCAAACAGGGTGAACAAAATTGTGTCTTCCCACAAACATCCATAAATACAGAAAACCCCAAATTTTTTGCATTTCTCAATGTTTCAAGGTCCATGTCCAAAAATATAAAAATCTGGGGAGTCATTTTCTGACCATACTTTCCCTCTGTTATATATAACAGCCAGGAATTTAAAAAGAAGGCAATTGCAATTGTAACATTTGCAATTACAGGCCTATATAAACTTACTGTCTATTTTCTATAAATTATTCACAAAAATCATTACTAATAGGATTACTAAACAATTGGACTTCAACCAACCCAGAGAGCAAGTAGGGATTAGAAATGGATACTCAACAATCAATCATACACACATTAAGACAGTTGATTAAAAAAATACATGAATATCGGAAACCACTCTGCTTGGCCTACGTCAATTTTGAAAAGTATTTCATTCTATAAAGTCACTGTGATAAATGCTCTTAGAGCACAAGGTATAGATTCAATCCACATAGAAACTCTAAATATATACAAGGACATAATTTCCACAATTAAATTACACCTATAATATGACTCCTATCCAATACAAAGAGATTACATCAGCTCAGCAAAGCTTTTTACAGCTGTTTTGAAGTGATATAGAAATAAACATACAACTTTATATAGTAAATACCAGTACATAAATACCAATAATTCTTGGCATTCCATAGCTGGAACAATTATGAACCTGAAGCAGATCTTGGTAGAGAATCAAAAACTTTCATTCATTTAGTTGAATTCGTATCTTACCAGAAATCTAAATGTTTAGAAGTGATAGAAATAAGCATAAATAGTGAAAGGCAAAATCATCTGATGTTTGTAGATAAAGTTGTACTTACTGTTAAAAAGTCCTCTGAACTACAACAAATGATAACTGAGCTTCACAGTACCATTTGAAATATGAGACTCAAGAACATTCCCAAAACAAAGATAATGTTTGATATGCTGACATTGTTGCTACAAATTACAGGGACAGTTTATAGAGGGATATTTATACCTAGGCCAAGTCATGAACAGTAATGAAGAAGTGACAAGTGAAATACAGTGTTTTATCTGACTAACATGGACTACTTTTCCAAAAGATGTTTTTAGGGATAACATACCCAACTCACTGAAGCATAAAGCTTTCAATTCATGCTTATTATCAGTCATGATTTAGAGAAGAAAAACATGGATGATGACAAAGAGTATGATCAACAAACTACAGGAAGATTAAACATATCAATATTATGCTGGAAACTTCTCTTAGAGATGATAAAAGGAAGGAATAGATAAAATCAAAAAGAAAACCGACAGGTGTCACTGAACATGTCACACATCTAAAACTCCCAAGCATCGACACATCACACAGATAAAGAACATTAAATAGACAGGGTCAACATCAGTTTGGAGATCTAAAAATTAGAAGAAAAGTAGAAAAAAGAAAAAAAATAGGTTTAAATCCAGATGAAAGGATGAGATCCGCGTAACGGCTTGCGTGCAAGGGGGACATACCGCAGACAGAAAAGTGGCACAGCACAAGAGATTCATCCAGCAAGTGGACCATACACAGTATATATAAGAAAAACTTTAAATGACCATAACAACAGATATTAATTTTTTGTGCAAAACTCACCCACATTAACTCAATTATATTAACTCTAAGACAGTTTATAAATTATAAACGTTGTTTGCTTATCCTAAATTATAAAAAGATCAACATAGTGTCATTTTTTACATTACATACTGTAAATTGAGTAGAAGTGACTTTTAGATACTCTATTCATGTACAGTACATACACATGAATAAATTGTCTAAAAGTAACCTGAGTGGAATTACAACAGGATTTCTATAAACATTAATTTGTTTATTTAAGTATCATCACTGTTAATGCATTTATGAGTAAACCTTATAAATATTTATGTAAAGAATTCTAGATATGAAAGAGTAAAAATATAGTTTCTAATGAATTTCTTTGATAATTCCATTAGAATTTACCTGTAGATAACTCGAATTAGAAGAAATTGAAATCTTTTGACGCCTTCCATTCAGACACAAAACAGTTAACGTAGTAGTCGACGCCATTTTTCTTCGTCTTATGCCCTCTAGGGGAGTTTTTTTATTTATTTTTATTTTTTTATTTAATATTTTTTGAAAAATTATTACGTATTGAAAAATTTTTATTATTTTATTAATAAATTTATTTTTTTAATAATAATAATGATAAATTGAAATGTTCCATTGCCTTCTGATCATAAAAACAAAATTAATTTAAAATTAATAAATACAATACAGTAACGCGAAATCAAAAATGGATGACACTCTTTAATTGCATTGGGAAACATTAAGAAATTTATTCAGCACGAATAAAACTGCATATCACATCGTAATAAATTATTTTTAAAATGACAAATTTAATAGCATTTATAAATTCAAAATATAAGAATCGGACTGGATTCAGGATTCCATTCAAGAATTGACAAAATAATACAACGTCTTTGTTTAAATTTAAATTATGATTAAAGCGGATACTATATGTTTAATTATTTACTTTATTATCTAAATAATTGTTAAAATCAATATAAAAATATATTGTGAAATGTGGTATAGTAAAGAATAGCCGAAGCTGCATTGGCACAACCTGCCACTCTGAGAAAATTTCTGAGTCATACTCTTTGGAACTCAGAAATTGTTACTGGTAAATTAATTCGGATTTATTTGACCCCGTCCTTCACTATTTAGCTGCTCTCATTGTGGATCTGACCTAATTCATCATGAGTATGTGAAGGACTCTCTTCAGTCCTCTTAGGACAGAAAGAATTAAAAGTGAAAAATTATATGATGGATGGAAACGACGCTCTAACACAGGGGTGTCCAACCCGCGGCCCGCGGGCCGCATGCGGCCCAAGGCAAGTTCCAATGCGGCCCAATAAACGTGTAAACAAAACCGACAAATGTTTTAATTTTTTTATTATTTATTTATTTCTACGGCATAAACTCAAAAAAAAGTTTCACAAAGCCGTAAACCTTTATTCATATTTTATTTTTGAGTGGAAAGAAAATATTTTCAAATACTTGGAGATGTGTGAATGCGGAAGGATTACTAAATAAAGCTGGAGTTGTGACTCAAAGGATTATAGACCCAAATTTGGGAAAAGGAGGGAAAGATGAGAAAGGACAAAAGATGTAGTAGTGAGAAACGTTAAATAGATCTTCTGTTAAGCAAATATGGACCCGTAATTTTTCAACCTTTTTCACTTCTTTATCTTTTGTCCTTTGCCTCTTTTTCCCCGCACTTGGGTCTATAATCCTTTGATTCACAACTCCAGCTTTATTTAGTATTTCTTCCAACGTTGCAAGATTTGGCTACATTGCGCCAAATGTGGCTACTTTTTTTTGTTTGACGTAAAAAATATCATTTGGCGCTTTGGCTACTTTTTGGGCTACATATTATTTATAAATATATTAGTTGAATAAAAATGCACTTTAAAATGGTGTTTCGTCGCTTTTTATTAATTAGAGACCCAAATAAAACAAATATTTGTGTTTTTCAAATAAATTTTCGTTTGTCTCTTTTATAATAAATGAATTTATCTATTTCTAAGTAAAAATTGAAAGTGTCTGTAGAAGTAGTTTTTTAAAATATCCTTTTTTCTTCATAAAGTTTTAATACAGTACTTATTATTATAATCTAGACATGTTAATTTTTAAATATACTTGTATATTGGACCACGAGTATATATTATATATACTTGTGGCCCAAAACTCCTTGACTTCTTCCAAATGCGGCCCAGAAAAACAAAAAGGTTGGACACCCCTACTCTAACACATATACCCGTCATAAATTTAGGGATTAGATAAGATTTAAACTCAAATTTTTCAAGCAATTATATACTGTATTTTACTACGTGGTACGGTACATAGCGTATTATTCAATGAAGAAACTAAACGGCATTTTTGAACTTTGAACGCTATACTGTAATTCAATTTTGTTACAATTGATAACAATCTTAACATGTTTGCTTGTCATGTTGTAATCATATTAATTAAACTTTAATAATTATTTAAAAAATGCACAGAAAAGATTAAAATGTCTTCATTTTCTCCATGTCGAATCACCAGGAACCATTGCAGAGACGACCTTTTATTAGAGGCCACGCCTCTGCCAAAATATGCAAAAATAGTTTAAAAAGTTCATAGGTGACAAGCCAAAACAATTAAAAAATACATAATGTCTTCATTTTCGCCATTTTTTAAAAAAATATTACACGTTTTTTAATTGTTTTGGCTTGTCAACTGTGAACTTTTTTAAACTGTTTTTGTATATTTTAATAGTCTCTAATAAAAGGCCGTCTCTCAATGAAGACTGTTTTCCTGATGATTTGACATGGCGAAAATCAAGACATTTTAATCTTTTCTACGTATTTTCTTAGTTGTAAATTCGTCAGTTTTTTTATTATTATTATTTATATTGTAAATATTGATCATGATGAGGAGAAGATTAAAATGTTAGAGTTTTACTCTGGAAAATCCGGATTCGAGCCCGGATCAAAACTTCAAAAAATTTTTATAGATGATTTGGCCCAGATATATCAAGTCCCGACTCTTTTCATCTAGCGCCTCCACTGTAATATAATAAAATCCGTAACAAATATTAAAAAATTCTTTTATTGTTTGCAGAAGAGAAACAGATAAAGAAAATTACTACACGAATTTGTCAATATCAAAGAATATGAAAAATTAGATTAATTATTTTATTTCCTTTTTATATTATTATAATAAAAGAATTTAAACTCATGAAGAGTATGATTGTTATCTAGGCCCACAAGGGGGACGAGCAGATAGTAAGGAACGGGACCTGACATATCCAGAACAGACCTCAATGAAAAAATCCAGCAACGAATAACGGAACTTTCCTGGCTGTTAGATTTTATTTTAAAATAACTTTTATATTATTAATCATAATAAATAAAACCGTGTATCTGAGATGAGATTTTATTAAAAAGTACATTTGATATTAATTAATTTTTATAAAATGGCAACAAGCTTAATTAATACGTTTAGGCAGAGATGCGTTTTATATTAAAAAAGCTTGTAAATGCTAATAAGTAAAATTTTCATTAAGTTCGACTGCTCTTGACATATGACCCTCTTCTATTTCTCCATTCTCTCGACCTTATAACCACCAAATTTAATAGTATCAATGGCCTTATATGTAAGTTATCGTGCCGAATTTCATTTCTTGATATGTATTCTATTCTGAGATATTAAATAAAATAGACGTATACGCGCGGAATTTTTTCCTGTTTTTTTATTTATCTTTTCAGGTTTAATGGATGGTTGTTTGCAAATCTTCACAACAACCCGGAGGAAAAAATTTGACGGTCAACCAGTGGCCAAGCTGTTCCATTCTCTGAACACAGAGTTCGGTCGTGAATTCGCGCCATTCTAGAACGGGCTGGCCAGCAGGAGTTTTCCGGATTTTCTCCATGTATATAATAACTGAATAGGCCTTAAAAAGACCTCCCGAAAGACATTCCCCTAGACAGATCGCCCAAGTGTTGCGTTGCCGTAAATGAATAAACAAACAAACATCAAATTTGACACGAATCCAATGCTTTCCATTAGATTGGCGTCTTAACTGCTTCTGCCATCCGGTTGCTTTTTTTTATTTATTTTTTTTATTTTTAACACTACGCCCTATGGGCACTAAAAAGACCTTTTCTTTAGCAAGCCTATTATGAGTTTAGCCAGGCCCACAATGGCGCAATCGGATGGTGAAGGACGGGACCCGACATAACCATTCAGTAATCAATGTATTTAAATTAAAACTGATGTGTTATTTTTAAAATCATTTATACTTTTTCTACGTTTTTTTCAGTTATCTGTCTTCTATTTAAATGTTATATTAAAATTTTTCAAAGAGGTTTAAAAGGATATAAAAATGTACCTGTTTATTTTGTAGACGTGCCAAATCTTCCTGGAAATACAATCACAAATAAGAATAAAAAAGACGGAAGTAGATAATGTTTGACATTTATTTCAAGTTTCGAATGCAATAGTTTATTTGTGTATCCGATACTATCTGTGATACAATAGTAATAATATCAGTTATACAATTTTACGTTGAATAGCTATTCATATTTCTGTGGAATACCATAAGCCCAGTAAGGAATATTAAACATATAATATATAATAAATTTAAAATATCTTATATATATATATAATTATATCGAAGAACAAAATATTGTGTTTCTTTTTTATACGAGGCCCGCCAATGACCAAGCGGTTTCGTTCCCTGAACGCTGGGAATTCGGTCGTGGCTTCGCGCCTCGCCAAAACGGACAGGCAACGTGGAGTTTATTAGGTTTTCTCCACGTCTGTTACGTCTGAATAGGGGAATGCAGCCCCTATAAGCAGATCGCTCAAGTGTTGCGTTGCTATAGCTTAATAAAACAAACCTTGTAGGAATTTAATTTTAATACTACAGAATAGCAATTTTACATATTAATTCATAATGGCCGATTGACGAAAGGGTTAGAGTCCGCTTACCGCTTTGGAAGCCAACACCCAGCAAGACAGATTGCTCATAAAAATCCCTATCCCAGAGTTTTTTTAATGAGAGATCTGTTCTTATGACCTTACCATTGTGGATTTCCTCCACTCACGATGGATATGGAAAAAAAGGCCTTCTTAAGGCTCAGAGATCAGAAATCCAAAATTAATACTGTATAAACTTTGTAAACATAAAATCTGAAATAGATATTTACTTAGTACAAAAAACTTGTAAAGTTTTTTCATAATTCGAATGCATTGAAGCGAAAACAATGAAATTTTGCCCTTAAATATAATTTACAGACTTTTATATTAAATAAAATATCTTTTAGATCATAAAAAGTTATTCTAAATATACGAAAAAAATTTTACATCAAAAATTTGATATTTTATTTGCTTTAATTTCAATATAAATTTTAAATATTTTCACTTAAACAAGCGCAACTTTAAAGTAACAGATTTATAATATAGCAAAACAATATTCAAGAATTAATATTTTGAGTTTTGAATATTTAATAATGCATAAAAATTCCGAGTAGACATTTAATTGTTACGATTGCTTCAGAATGTTCTTATTCTTCCGTATCTCTGAAAGCGAATGTTGAACACATCATATCAAAATCTTTATCGAGATCTTCTTGCTGACAAACTATTTCAACGTTTCCCTAAAATTTATATGCATATTTCAATATAAAAATTATATTCATATAAACAAATATAATAGTAATTGAGTACCTTCATCTTCATCAATTTTTTACAGCCAGGTTCTCGAAGTGCGTTCTAGTAAAATAAATTTATTAAGTATTATCTTCATGTCAGTATAAGTACAGTAGAAACTCGATTATACAAAATGGTTATTAAAAAAACACCAGAATATGAAGCGTTGTACACATCACAGAGTATAGTAGAAAAAGACCAGATTTTTTATATAACTAGAAATTACAACTTTACCTGTCGATTGTAGCGCCGCGAAACTAGGTCATATATAGATGTAACATTACGTCAGATTTCGTGTAAATTAATTTAAATACGGTAATTGCATTACAGTGCTATTTTCCATTTTAAAATTTATATATATTTATTTAAATTTAGACTAATGTATACTGTATCATGTTTATATTAACAGAGTTATTGCGCCGCACTTACTTTTTTTTAACTCTTTCCGCCCACAGGGCTGAAAAAGTTAAACAGCCCATTTAAGGGTTCAGCAAGCCGAGTGGTGAGGGACGGGGGCCAACGTATCTGCTCGGACCACCCCCGAAAAATTCCCGAGGATTTTTTGATCCGTCCAGATTCGATCCCAGATCGGTAAGCTGCCACCTTGACCGCTCGGCCATCCGACGGTCAAACTCACCGTATGTACAATAAAATTTGACCTAATTATTTAAAACCCTTATAATCCACAAACTGCCCGATTAAACACATTGCAAGAAGGCCTGAACCGCGCGAGAAGGTAAACAATACCCCTACCCAACCCTCCATAAATTATAAAAACTGGAACTGGGTTCGAGTAATAAGCTAACACAATTCGGCGAGAATGACCAAGTAAATTAGCATTCTGTCTGTCTCTTTGGAATCTGAGATCGAATCTGGACGAGCAAAAATTTTTCAGAGTAAGGTATGTTCCGTATATATGGGAAACATCCCTCACTTTCTAACAGACCTCATTACGACCTGTCCAAATCTACAATGGCTATAGGAAAAAGTCTTCCTGGTGCACATAGGATGAAAAGAGACTAAATAAATAAATAAAATAAAATATCGTGCGTTTTTCGGATACGACATATTAATTAATTAAAAAGAAAAAATAAACATTTAGTAAAAGAAAAATTAATTTTTTACCGCAAGTTCTGCAAGAATAACTTTGAATTTAGGCTATAAAATAAAATAAAATAAAATGTAAATTTTAAAAATTGGATATATTTTAAATACAAATAATAATATAAACATACATACATTTTTTTGAAGTTTACGAAAAAAACAGGAAGAAACCAATTGTTTAGAAATCAATTCTTTAGGGTGACATTTATCCAACATCTAAAAGTAAATATATGTATCAAGTATCTTAATCATTAAAAATTCAGACGTGTTATATAAAAATAAATTTTACCAGATTCACTCTTTCTCGAAAGCATTCTGCCTGTTTGCATATTAGAAAACGCATTAATAATAATAAAATCATAGTTATATAATAATTTTTTTTATTATTTAAAAGTACATACCGTGCTGTTAATGCCATTTGTACAGCAGTTCCACAGAATATTATCTGCCTAATATTTAAAAATTGCGAATTTAAAGTAAATTCAATTGTCGACACCGTATGATAAATAAGCTAAAGTTTAGAGCCGCACATTTTAAAATTTATAATTATTTGATAGAGGAAAAGGGCATCTTATATACAGTATTACAGTTTAGCCGCATCAACTTTAAACCTGGTCTTGCGTATTATATAAAATTTTATGTCATACCTCTTCACTCGTAAAGACATCCCTTATACACTCGATTTCCTGGTCCGTAAAACATCTTTTATCGGCAACTGTTATACAATTTTACGTTTCAAAATTTAAATTTTCAANAAAAATTATATTCATATAAACAAATATAATAGTAATTGAGTACCTTCATCTTCATCAATCTTTTACAGCCAGGTTCTCCAAGTGCGTTCTAGTAAAATAAATTTATTAATTATTATCTTCATATCGATATAAGTTTGTATTTATAAGTACAGTAGAAACTCGATTATCCAAAACGGTTATTAAAAAAACCAGAATATAAAGCGTTGTACAAATCACAGAGTATAATAGAAAGGGACCAGATTTTTCATATAACTAGAAATTACAACTTTACATGTCGATTGTAGCGCCGCGAAACTAGGTCATATATAGATGTAACATTACGTCAGATTTTGAGTAAATTAATTTACATTGCATTACAGTGCTTATAGGAGTTAAATATACAGTGCTTTATGCAGTACCTGAAACACTTTTGGATTATCCCAAATTTCGTTTATTCGAAAGACCCCTGGTTGCATCCAGTTCGATAATCGAATTTCCATTATATTTATTATTTAAGCATTATAAGTCGTATATGAATTTAATTATTGTTAAGTAAAAATTTTTCATTTCCGTGCAGCCAACTTTATATTAAAGATATAATCGTATAAAATAAATTCGAATTTTTAGTTAAATTAAATTTAAATTAATTATTGTATTATTATTATTATTATATTTTTATTTATGATGATTGATTATTTATGATTGTATATCATGTTTATATCAGCAGAGTGATTGCGCCGCGCCTACTAGTATGTATATAAATTAAAATTTGACCTGATTATTTAAAGCCCTTATAGCCCACAAGCTGCCCAATTAAACCCATTACAGGAAGGCCTGACCAGTGCGAGAAGATAAACATTGCCCCTACCCAACCCACCATAAATTATAAGAACTGGAACTGGATTCCAGCCCGAAATCCTACAGTTGTAAGTTAACACAATTCCGCGAAATTTAAGATCGGATGGCCAAGGAAATTAACGTGTTTGTCTATCTCTTTGGGATCTGACATCTAATCTGGACGAGCAAGAAGTTTTCAGTGTGTTCCGAATATATGGAATCAATCCCTCACAAGCCCTCATTACGGGCCTGTCCAAATGTACAATGGCTATAGAAAAAGGCCTTCCTGGTACCCACACTGCGAAAAGAGACTAAATAAATAAATAAAATACCGCGCGTTTATTGGATACACCATATAAATTAAACAAAAAGAAAAATTTAGTAAAGGAAAAATTTATTTTTTTACCATAAATTCATCTGTAAGAATAACTTTGAATTTAGTCTGCAAAATAAAAATAAAATAAAATTTTAATTTTAAGGATTGGATATATTTTAAACATAAATAATAATATAAATACACTTACATGATTATGAAGTTTGTGAACAAAACAGGAAGAATACATTTCTTTAGGGTGACATTCTTTCTCCATCTGAAAGTAAATACAATATATATCAATATATATATAGCCTATATATCAAGTATCTTAATCATTAAAATTGCAGACGTGTTATATAAAAATAAATTTTACCAGATTCACTCTTTCTCGAAAGCATTCTGCCTGTTTGCATATTAGAAAACGCATTAATAATAGTAAAATCATAGTTATATAACAAATTTTTTTATTATTTAAAAGTACATTATTAAAACCTTTAGATTCTCTATTTTCTTTAAATTGTATAATAAACATATTTAAAATGAAATTTATAATGAAATAATCTCAAAGAAATTCATTAAAAACTAATAAAAAGTCGTCTCTGTAATGGAAGACTGTTGTTCTTGATGATTCGACATGGCGAAAATCAAGACATTTTGGTCTTTTCTACGTATTTTTTTAATTGTAAATTTCGTCAGCCATATTTGTTTTTTTTTTTTTGTTTTATTTTAATATTCATGTCGTAAGTATTTACGATCCAGTTAACGATGAGAAGGAAATTAAAATGAAAAAAAGATTTCCTAGAGTAAAACTCTGGGAAATCTGGATTCGAGCCTGGAAACTTAGAAAGTTTTGATCCGGATATATTGCACATGATTTGGTATATCAGGTCCCGACTCTTCATCTAGTCGCTTCACTGTAATCTGATAAAATCTATAACAAGTATAAAAAACCGTTTTATTGAGTGCAAAAGAGAAAAAGATAAAGAAAATTACTACACGAATTTGTTAATATCAAAGAATATGAAATAATTAAATTAACCATTCTATTTCCTTCCTTACTGTAGACAATAAGACAATGAAGAATAGATTAATACATAGTATGAAATGATTAAATTAATAACTAGGCCCACATTGGAGGAGAACAGGTGGTAAGGAACGGAACCTGAGATATTCAGAACAGACCACAATGAAAAAATCCAGAAACGAATAACGGAACTTTCCTGGCTATTAGATTTTATTTTAAAAAAAGAATTTAAACTCATGAAGAGTATGATTGTTATCTAGGCCCACAAGGGGGACGAGCAGATAGTAAGGAACGGGACCTGACATATCCAGAACAGACCTCAATGAAAAAATCCAGCAACGAATAACGGAACTTTCCTGGCTGTTAGATTTTATTTTAAAATAACTTTTATATTATTAATCNAATACATAGTATGAAATGATTAAATTAATAACTAGGCCCACATTGGAGGAGAACAGGTGGTAAGGAACGGAACCTGAGATATTCAGAACAGACCACAATGAAAAAATCCAGAAACGAATAACGGAACTTTCCTGGCTATTAGATTTTATTTTAAAAATAACTTTTATATTATTAATCATAATAAATAAAACCGTGTATGAGACCATCTGATATGAGATTTTATTAAAAAGTAAATTTTATATTATTAACTAATTTTTATAAAATGACAATAAGCTTAATACTTTTAGGCAGAGATGAGTGTTATAAAAAAAAAACTTGTAAATGCTAATAAGTAAAATCTTCATTAAGTTCGACTTTTCTCGACATATGATCCCTCTATCTCACCATTCTTTCGACCTTATAACCACCAAATTTAATAGTATCAATGGCCCTTATATGTAAGTTATCGTGCCAAATTTAATTTTTTAATATTTATTCTATTCTGAGATATTAAAAAAAATAGACGTCAACACACATACATAGACATATACGCGCGAATTTTTTTTCCTTTTTTTTACTTTTTTAGGTACAAAAAATGTACCTAAAAAAGTAAAAAACTCCCGGTTGTTTGCAAATCTCCACGTTTTGTAAACAACCCGGTTTCTTTTGTCATTTATTAACGAAAATTAAACCGCCGGAACACTAAAATACTGGAATTTTTCGATCGTCTGGAAGAGCGTTAGGCTGATGTCTAACTGCCTCGGCTATCCGGCTGCTTTTTAAAATTTTTAACACTACGCCCTATGGGCACTGAAAGGGCCTTTTCTTTAGCAAGCCTATTATGGATTTAGCCAGGCCCACAATGGCTCAATCAAATGGTGAAGGACGGGACTCGACATAACTATTCAGCCATCAATGTATTTAAATTAAAACTAATGTGTTATTTCTAAAATCATTTATACCTTTTCTACGTTTTTTCAGTTATTTGTCTTCTATTTAATTATTCTATTAAATGTTAGGCCTATATTAAATTTTTTCAGAGAGGTTTAAGTGTGTTTAAACAAAATGCATGTGTTTAATTTGTAGACGTGCCAAATCATCATGAATAGATCTTTTACAATTATTGAGAATCTCGATTATTGAATGAAATACAATCACAAATAACAATAGAAGAAAAAAAAAAAGACGGAAGTCGTTAATGTTTGCATTTATTTCAAGTTTTAAATACAATAGTTTAATTGTTTACCCGATACCATCTGTGATACAATAGTAATAATATCAGTTATACAATTTTACGTTGAATAGCTATTCATTTTTCTCTAGAATACCATAAACCCAGTAAGGAATATTAAACATATAATATATATAAAATTTAAAATATCTTTAAAATATGTAGAAGAACAATACATTGTGTTNAAGTCGTTAATGTTTGCATTTATTTCAAGTTTTAAATACAATAGTTTAATTGTTTACCCGATACCATCTGTGATACAATAGTAATAATATCAGTTATACAATTTTACGTTGAATAGCTATTCATTTTTCTCTAGAATACCATAAACCCAGTAAGGAATATTAAACATATAATATATATAAAATTTAAAATATCTTTAAAATATGTAGAAGAACAATACATTGTGTTGTTTCCTTATACGAGGCCTACCAGAAATCAAACGGTTCCGTTCCCTGAACACTGAGCGTTCAGTCGTGATTTCGCGCCTCGCCAGGACAGGCTGAACACGTGGAGTTTCTCGGGTTTTCTCCACGTCTGTAATGACTGAATAGAGGCCAGTTACCCTTAAAAAGACCTCCCTCCCAGAAGACATCCTCTCTAGGCAGATCACCCAAGTGTTATGTTGCCATAACTTAATAAAGCAAACTTTATTAAATTTATAATAGCCGGATGCCGAAAGGGTTAAAGAGTCAGCTTACCGCTTTGTGTGCTAACCTCTAGCAAGACAGATTGCTCATAAAAATCCCTGGGAATGGGAAAAATATCCCTACCCCAGAAACTTTTTAGTGAGCGATCTGTCTCGGATATGTCGGAATCCGTACCTTACTATACTCCTCCACTCACGATGGATATGGAAAAAAAGGCCTTCTTAGTACCCAAAAAGTAGAAATAAAATAAAAAGAATTAATGTAAACTTTGTAAACATAAAATCTGAAATAGTTATTTACTTAGTACATAAAACTTGTTTAGAAAAATAGTAAATCATCGCCATTTTGAATAAAGTTTTTTCATAATTCGAATGCATTGAAGCAAAAACAGTAAGTGAAATTTTCCTTAAATATAATTTACAGACTTTTATATTAAATAAAATATTTTTTAGATCATAAAAAGTTATTCTAAATATACGATAAAAATTTTACATCAAAAAATTGATATTTTTATCTGCTTTAATTTCAATAGACTATAAATTTTAAATATTTTCACTTAAACTAGCGCAACTTTAAAGTAACAGATTTATAATATTGCAAAAGAACATTCAGGAATTCCATTACCATTTTTAATATTTAATAATGATATAAAAAAATTTCCGAGTAAACATTTAATTGTTACGATTGCTTCACAATGTTCTTATTCTTCCATATCTCTGTAAGAGAATGTTGAACAAACTACATCAAAATCTTTATCGAGATCTTCTTGTTGACAAATTATTTCAACCTTTTGCTAAAATTTATATGCATATTTCAGTATAAAAATTATATTCATATAAACAAATATAATAGTAATTGAGTACCTTCATCTTCATCAATTTTTTACAGCCAGGTTCTCGAAGTGCGTTCTAGTAAAATAAATTTATTAATTATTATCTTCATATCGATATAAGTTTGTATTTATAAGTACAGTAGAAACTCGATTATCCAAAACGGTTATTAAAAAAACCAGAATATAAAGCGTTGTACAAATCACAGAGTATAATAGAAAGGGACCAGATTTTTCATATAACTAGAAATTACAACTTTACATGTCGATTGTAGCGCCGCGAAACTAGGTCATATATAGATGTAACATTACGTCAGATTTTGAGTAAATTAATTTACATTGCATTACAGTGCTTATAGGAGTTAAATATACAGTGCTTTATGCAGTACCTGAAACACTTTTGGATTATCCCAAATTTCGTTTATTCGAAAGACCCCTGGTTGCATCCAGTTCGATAATCGAATTTCCATTATATTTATTATTTAAGCATTATAAGTCGTATATGAATTTAATTATTGTTAAGTAAAAATTTTTCATTTCCGTGCAGCCAACTTTATATTAAAGATATAATCGTATAAAATAAATTCGAATTTTTAGTTAAATTAAATTTAAATTAATTATTGTATTATTATTATTATTATATTTTTATTTATGATGATTGATTATTTATGATTGTATATCATGTTTATATCAGCAGAGTGATTGCGCCGCGCCTACTAGTATGTATATAAATTAAAATTTGACCTGATTATTTAAAGCCCTTATAGCCCACAAGCTGCCCAATTAAACCCATTACAGGAAGGCCTGACCAGTGCGAGAAGATAAACATTGCCCCTACCCAACCCACCATAAATTATAAGAACTGGAACTGGATTCCAGCCCGAAATCCTACAGTTGTAAGTTAACACAATTCCGCGAAATTTAAGATCGGATGGCCAAGGAAATTAACGTGTTTGTCTATCTCTTTGGGATCTGACATCTAATCTGGACGAGCAAGAAGTTTTCAGTGTGTTCCGAATATATGGAATCAATCCCTCACAAGCCCTCATTACGGGCCTGTCCAAATGTACAATGGCTATAGAAAAAGGCCTTCCTGGTACCCACACTGCGAAAAGAGACTAAATAAATAAATAAAATACCGCGCGTTTATTGGATACACCATATAAATTAAACAAAAAGAAAAATTTAGTAAAGGAAAAATTTATTTTTTTACCATAAATTCATCTGTAAGAATAACTTTGAATTTAGTCTGCAAAATAAAAATAAAATAAAATTTTAATTTTAAGGATTGGATATATTTTAAACATAAATAATAATATAAATACACTTACATGATTATGAAGTTTGTGAACAAAACAGGAAGAATACATTTCTTTAGGGTGACATTCTTTCTCCATCTGAAAGTAAATACAATATATATCAATATATATATAGCCTATATATCAAGTATCTTAATCATTAAAATTGCAGACGTGTTATATAAAAATAAATTTTACCAGATTCACTCTTTCTCGAAAGCATTCTGCCTGTTTGCATATTAGAAAACGCATTAATAATAGTAAAATCATAGTTATATAACAAATTTTTTTATTATTTAAAAGTACATACCGTGCTGTTAATGCCATTTGTACAGCAGTTCCACAGAATATTATCTGCCTAATATTTAAAAATTGCGAATTTAAAAGTAAACTCAATTGTCAGCACCGTATGATAAATAAAGCTAAAATTTAAGGCCGCGCATTTTAAAATTTATTATTATTTGATAGAGGAAAAGGGCATCTTATATACAGTATTACAGTTTAGCCGCATCAACTTTAAACCTGGTCTTGCGTATTATATAAAATTTTATGTCATACCTCTTCACTCGTAAAGACATCCCTTATACACTCGATTTCCTGGTCCGTAAAACATCTTTTATCGGCAACTGTTATACAATTTTACGTTTCAAAATTTAAATTTTCAAATTTTAAGGATAGAAAATTACTTACAAATTTTGCAGCATAAAGCTATAAAAACTAATAAGCCAATTGCGCGATGCATCTTCAGTTGAAGCAGTCTTTGCTATAATAGAAAATGAATGGGTTTTATATAAGGAAAACAAGTAATAAAAGCTGGTATATTGCCAAAATCTAGTTGAATAGATTATCATTCTTCTCGGGCAATTAAACTTGGTAGTTTCTACTACAATACAGTCGTTATTGCTGCATAAATTCTGAAAGATAGAAATATTTTTTTATTTGAAAAGGCGAAATATTTTCTAATTAAAAATATTTATAAAATATTAAATTATTATTTAATTTATGCATTATAATTTTTTTATTTTATGATGTCATTTCCGGAATATATATAATGCGCCACAGTGTGACAATTATTGAAATTATTATTGACGGTTTAACTTTCGTGGAATTACGTCATAATTATTGCGTGATGTTTTTGATCATTTGAGATAATTTATATCATTATATTACAACAAAAAGATAAAAATCTCTCCTTAGGTTGTTTTTTTTTAACTACAGTCTTATACTTCTATCCATAAAACAGCGTAATCTAATCTTAGAAACGTGGCATTTTAAATTATAGCCAAAACTGAATTTACCAATCAATCTGTTTTAAATAATTTAATAATTCTTTTTGTAAGTAATAAAATCATATATGGTTATTTTTAAATTAGTTATTAAAATAATTAAATTATATTTATTATTATTTGAAATAATAAAAAGAAAATCATTTTTCTAGTTTAGGAATGCTGATTGGTTATTGCTATTTAAACTTCACCGTTCTATATTTTCAGATTCAGACCCACCATTGACCAAGCGGTTCCGTTTCCTAAAACCTTAAAAAACGGTCGAGGGTTCGCACCTCGCCAGGACAGACTGGCCACGTGGAGTTTTCCGGATTTTCTCCATGTCTGTAACGCCAGAATAGGGGCCATTTAAAACTTTAAAAGACCTCCCAGAAGCCATTATCCTCTAATTAAGCTTCGGCCGGATGATCATCGCTCTATCGGAGAAATAAAGCCAAACAGTCTGATCCTGTATATGAACCTATAATAACTCTCTATATAATACTCTAGTTATTTTGGCTATAATAATATAGTCAATTCAGTTTCGGGTGGTGCCTATCCACTAGTTTCCAGAACGTGTTTTTGAATACACGAGCGCGTACGTCTTGGTAGCCATTAATTAAGCTACTGCTAATTGTTAGTGTATGTCTGAAATTTTGTTTTTGGTGACATGCCTCAAAACCAGTACGGGTAGATATTGTGTAGTGATTTCCGCTATAATTGCAGCGTGTTCTTTATAAGTGATTTGAAGCTGTATGCGATGTACACGAAAACATTGATGCATCGAGATTGTCCATGTATTAAACCGATGTTACATTAATTTCCACGCGATAAAAATTAAGAAGAGAATATGTAACCAGCCATGCATGTACAGTACAATCCAGCTAGATAAATAACTTTGCCATCATAAGACACACAAGTCCATACAAGATAGGCACCACCCGAAACTGAATTGACTATATTATTATAGCCAATATAACTAGAGTATTATATAAAGTGTTATTATAGGTTCATATACAGGATCAGACTGTTTGGCTTTATTTCTCCGATAGAGCGATGATCATCCGGCCGAAGCTTAATTAGAGGATAATGGCTTCTGGGAGGTCTTTTAAAGGTAAATGGCCCCTAGAATGATCACTTGCAGATGAGATTTGTCACTTAGAATGATCACTTGCAGATGAGATTTGTCTTAAGGACAAGTATTTTGTGACAATTTATTAATTAATTAAAATTTCACCTACTTTACTATTTGAAAAGTAATTGTAAGAGTCAAAACTTCTATAATTAAGCATTTCTTGGTAATCATAAGCCCTACTTTTAATAAGACAATCAAATATAGCTGGATATTCTAAAGTAGGCTATTCATTCTACGATTTTATAGTACTAATTGGTGAAAACAACTGTTCATCTGAAAATAAATTAGAAAATACAAATCTGTAGACGAAACGATGCAAAACTCCGAAAATTTTGCATCAGAGTTCAATTAGCAGTTTTTACTAGTGGTAATCAATGGCAAAAATTGGACTACTACAATGTCACGACATCTGGTGGATAATCGAGTAAACTCAACCATTTTGTCAAAGTCCTTGAATGGAGAGTGGTACAGTATCACCTGTATTCTTACAGGTGTTCAGCAATTCCGTACTTCTTGCACTATCTTATGGTGGGGTGGCGGCGACGCTACAGTACGGGAAAATACATGTATCTTCTCTGGAAACTTTGTGGATTATCGGGATGCTTGCCGCTAGGAGTGCTGCAATCGGCGGCAACGTTGGAAAGCCTATATTGGCCTTAAGTAAGTAACGCTTTTCTATTGGCAGTCTGTGATCACGTGACTTTAAGCCTCCATTATTCTTCCACATAACGTGTTGCGAGATATATTCATTCATAAGACAGTACAAATTGCTTAAAATTTAAATTAAAAAATCAGTATACATAAATTAATATGACTATTAATATAGTTTAGTATTTTTGTGATATACAATATCTGACATGAAAATCCTTAATTATACAAATCTACTTTATTTGAATAATTATAAGCCACTTATAATTATAATTTTAGTTTAATAAATAACAATAATAATATATAAGTATGATGTGTATTGTGCAGGAATTAAGTTGTTTTATAAATACACTTGACAGTAGAATACATTTAATATTCTATAAACATATAGTCTATATCAGTGGTTCCCAATTAGTTTTTCCTGCGTATCACTTCAAGAAAGAGCTCAAACTCGCGTACTCCTTATAGCAGAAATTCAGTTAATCCATACTAATACAGTAGAACCTCGATTATCCGGACTAATTGGGGACGAAGGTAGTCCGGATAAGGAAAAATCCGGATAATCAAAACAAATACTTTAATTTGTCTTTTAATGATAATACAACACGTTTTCTTTTCGATGACATATCGGTAATATTAAAAGTAAATACTGTATTTATATCGTGATCAAATTTTCAAGAAACAAACGTTCGTATTGAATTTGGACTACTACTGACCAACGCTAACAGACTACCTATTGTTTAAAAGGCCCTCTGGTGGCGCAAGAAGACGGATTTTATAAAATAAAAAGCAGTTGAAACTGCATTTTTATGAATAAAAATTTGACAAACTATTTATCGTTTTATGACGAGTAAAATTTTTTCGTCGCGTTCGCGGCTTTTAAGTAATGCATAAACCTTCGAGGCGCGAGGCCCTTCGGACCGCGAGGCATAGGCGGTGGCCCACGTCGTCCATGCCTTACGCCGCCCTTGGTCATAGAAATGATGTAATTTGAATATAAATTATTTATAAATACGTATGTCAAGTTATATTTTTATTACTACGTAAAATATATTTAAGAGTTTACGACCAACTGTGCTGGGTGAGACGTTGTTGAAACAAAAAAATTATGCATTCCATCACGTACATAAACAGTGTCGTAATTCGCCACATGCAAATCAGCAAATTCGTAAAATTTTTGTTTATTTTGAACAATCCGGATAATCGAAAATCTGGATAATGGAGGTCCGGATAATGGAGGTTCTACTGTATTAATATTATAAATTCGAAGATAATTCTATCTGTCTGTTACTTTTTTACGTCTAACCGCCGAACAAGTTTTAATAAAATTTGGCAAAGAGATAGCTTACATGTTGGAGATGGACATGGGCTACATTTTACTGCGAGAAAATATCTTATTCCCACAAGAAAATTCGACATAATGCAGGCAGAGCTGTGGGTAGACAGCTAGTGATAAATAGAATAAGATTTTTTTACATTTATTACCTTTAAAATACAATTCTAATAATAATGAAAATAACATAAGGTTATTTAATTTTAATTTGACAAATGTGCACGATTTTCTTTGCACAACTTCGTAAAATCTGGTTGCTTTTTGGTCAGCTTCAGTCTCGAGTCATCTTCGAGTTGAAGTCGGTGACAATGATTAGTTTTCATGTTTGTCATGGCCAAAAATCTGCTCTTGCAGAGGTATGTCGTGCAAAATGGTAGAAAATATTTTATTGCCGCTTCGCTGACATGATAATAATGATAATTGTACAATTAACAATTTTTACTACTATTAACAATTTTTGTTTCTTGCGCAAGAATATCATTTAGGTATTGTCACAAATGCATTTTTTGATGAAATTTCGAGAATATATTTAGTTATAAATAAAAGAATTTATGCATTCAACATCATGTTGTAAATTACCGAATTTTTGATGGTCCACCAATTATTTTTTTGATTGCTTCATCTCATGCATTTAAATTTTAAATCGACCGATTTTAGATTGCCACGCGTACACCTTCATGCAATTTCGCGTACCCCCAGGGGTACGCGTACCACTAATTGGGAACCATTGGTCTACTATATGAGTCTTTTTTCATTGCAACTTCGTTCGATTAATTTGATTTATTCAAATGCGGCAACACGACATTTTCCTAGGCGTTCTGCCCAGGGGAATGCTAACCGAGAGGACTTTATATGAGAAATTGGCCCCTATTTAGGTGTTACTAATGTGAAGAAAACCCGGAAAACTCCACGTGGCCAGCCTATTGGCAAGGCACACCTTGCCAAAACTCCATTCCTTGTTTTCGAGGACAAGTTAGACCCGAGTGCAACGAGATCCACCTTGTGGGAGCGCTGATCTAACATTGAATCATACAGTTTGAAGCTCCTTGCATAATGTACGATATCCTTTTTTATAGCTTGTGCCCACCTCGTTTTTCAGTCTGCAGGCACCGTTAGTAACATTATACACAAAGCCTAACGGAATGGTCGATTGATTAACTAAAGCTGAAACCAGCACTTTGTATCCACAATTAAGCCCATTACGAGTATTCCTGAGAAAATGAGGTTAATTAGAATGAATGAAAGTGTCCAAATCAATAATGCTCATGATACACTACAGGGTTCTGGACTAGATTCGAATTCTAATCCTGTGACTTTGCACTAGATTAACACCTTATCAAAATGATGCCCAAAATTTTCGTTTGGCGGGCCAAATTGCGCACAAGTAGGCAATTCACAAATCGTATTTTGTATATTTCATTATAAAAAAGTAGGCCTAATTCTATCATTTCCAACTGATGTGTCAAATGTTTCTGCGCGCCGGATTTGACCCGCAACCCATGGTTTGGGCCCCACCGCATTATCACACGGCCGATCATGCGGAATAATTCAATACTTTGCGCATTTTTAAATAAATAAGAATAAGTACATAATAAATTTTGTTATCAAATTAATATTTTTTTTAAAATGTAAGATTAAACATTTATTTTGTTTAAAAAATGGCAGCTTGCCACCGCCTTTAAACATTTCACGTCTACGAAAATTGTTTGGGTAGCACCTTGACAGGAAATACTGAAGCTGAGAGATTAATGCATAGCAGGAGTTTCCTGTTGTAGCTAACATGGAGTTTTACGACCGAATCGTCTCGATAATAGGCTATTCTTGCTGTCGTTAAGCCTTTAAACTTACATGAAGGATTTACAACCTCCTTCTTTGAAGTAGACCTGCTTTGGATTATTTTAGTCGGTCAAGTTGACATCTAAGATTTTATCTGTTGATCCTCTTCTTTCCCGTTTTACGGTATACAAGCCTCTGATATCTCTATTGATACGAAAATACAGCTTATTCTCCTGTGTATTGCAGTATTCTATTCTGTTCTCTGTAGTCTTGCTTTGTATACAAAATATTTTAAAATACGTCATCATTTCACAGTATTAGCAGCGTCATCTGGTGCTAATAAAAGTTATTAATATATATAGTTTTAAAATCTTAAATAATGCACTGGCGGTGGCGGTTTAAAACAAAGGAAAGTGCGTATATCTTAGAGGCGTAACAAGCCTAGGGCCTCACGCGCTTAGAATCCAAAATATTCGGTCTTCATCCAGTACCACTAGCGAGGGGCCCTGACACTGTATATTATTAACTCTTTACGCTCTATGGGCACTGAGGATCTTGTATAATATGAAATATCGTGATATGAACTTCACATTACGGTCCAGTGAGGTTGTAGACCCCCGTTACACAGAAGGGTGTCGTGCAACCTAAAACCAACACTACCCACTTTTTAACTAATTTTAAGGGCCTTCATTTCTGGTACAGTAAATTCATGTTACACTGGATGATTTAGAATTAAAACACAGTATTTTTACGCTCCCAATTTTTTACAAACTAAACACAATGAATGATTTATAACTTTCCACTCGAACAAACTAAAAAAAAAAAAGTATAATACAAAGTAGTGATATTTAATTCATGTCTTTTAGTATTCATGATACTTACGTATCCATATATATATATATATAAAGTCTATAAATGAAGAAAAAACAAGTACAATTCACTGCATCATAATAACAAATGATCTAGAAAGCAAGTTCTTATAGAAGAGTTATGCTTCCTCGAATCAAAAACTCGTTTAGAATTCTGCTCAGTATTTAATAACTCACATAGAAGAAGAAAAAAAAAATGAACGTTTTATTCTTATTTAGATGATGCACACATTTTTATTGTACACTCCCCTTCCCTCGTTATTCATTTTATTTTTCTGTACAAGTTGCAGTTAAAAACTAAATATTAGTTTTGGCAAATTATTGATAATGAAAATGTACATTCTTTTTTGTATTAATTATGTTCATTTGGCCTCCACTTTAAACACTTTTTTTTTGTTTTCCTCCTTTAAATATAGATATTCAAATATCTTCTTCTGTACCGGGTTTTAGTTCCAGGTGTTGGTAAGGAACGTGAAAGGTACGATTTTTGTATTCCACAACCAAGTGTCCCCTTCTCTGAGAAGCTCCCATGACTAAGACTGATTCTCCTTTGTGAAGTGTGACTTCAGTGTTGCCATCCTCTGTTGGATTAAATAATAAAAAAATTGTTATTTCGAGGGTGGTCGGGGAGTTCCTTATAAACCCTTATCGCTTACCCGTGTAATTCATTTTCATCACCCTAGTTTGTGGATATCCCAACTTAGTGTTTCCCGCAACGGTATACGGCCTGCTGGGTGGTACTGGAGGGGGTCTTTCCTGTAAGATAAACACGTAAACAAACACGTGCGTGGAACGGTGCAGGGTTGTTTATAGATCCACTTCACTTACCAAATCTAGACCAAACAGTGTACATGTTTGTTGTATCGTTTTATGATTACACCTTTCCAAATCGGGTGGCGGTGTACCAGCGATGGGCTGGGGTCTCGGCCTTGAGATTAAAACAGAATTGGGCAAAACTGCGGGTACGGATTGATTTCTGTAAATACAATTTCTTGCATTAGTTCGTCTTTTAAATTGTTTGAATCATAAAGAAAGGAGAACGTTAACATTACTCACCTCATACCTCTCGATTTCATTTGAAGTTGGAGATTACGTTTCAAGTTAGGCCATCGTTGCCTGAAGTTCCAACCCCTCCATGTGGACTGTACCAAAATGGCTGCTTTCTGACGTCGTTCCATACGTAATAACTCCAACTGTTGTCTTGCGCCCTCACTAAACGGAAAAATAGTTAATCTAAAACAAATTTTAAACGTTTAGAACTTTAATTTTCGATTTAAGATATACCTCAAAAATATGTGGCGTTTACCAAGAGCCCAATCTGTAGACGCTGGGGATGCTGGCCAACTTGACGAACTTCGAACAAAGTAATCCAAAATAACCTTCAAAAAAAAGATAAAGGGATTTACAGTACTAAATAAGATATTAATCATGCATAATTGCGACCTTGTTACGAGCGATAGATTCATTTATTCAAACTAATTACGGGTCGCTGCTCTTATCTTTTATGATGCTCATTGATGGGGCATGAAGCACTTTTCATGTTTTCCCAAGCAAGTGAAATTTGGCTAAATATAAAATCATTTTATTCAAATATTACTCTAAGCAAAACCAAACTTACTTTACAATCTTCAATCGAACTTTCTTCTGTCCTCTTAAGTTTCTTTGAAGGTGCCAGTAGATGGTACCGATAATTAAAAGCCTTGAATCTCATTCTATGCGGATGACCTAAAATTTAAAGAATATTTTATGAATTTTATGCTTAAATCCACAAAATGGCTTCTCTTGCGTACCTGTGGCCATAAGGTTTAATGTTTCCAAAACTTGTAGTGATCTGATCTGTTGCATGACAACTGCTCTATCTAAATGACCTGGTTGTTCTTTGTTGTTCGCCTAAATAGGTAAAACGTGGCCTTATAACAACCATGAATTGAAAATAAGTTAAATTTTTAAAATTGTTTAAAAATTTACCTTAATGCAACGAATGAAATGTGGCTTTGCGTGGACTAGAGTTTTTAGAAGATTATCTAATCGACTGTGAAAGTCTTGCGTTAGTGTGGAAACAGGTTCATCACCATTGATTCTAATGGAAAATATATATATATATATATTGCATTAATTGTTCAGATTATATACAATAAACACTATAATGCAAAGTAACTTACAGATCAGATGGTGCTGTAGGAGATATTCGAAAGTATACACCACGTGGTACAGGTTCTGTAAGAAGAGTAAGATTTGCTTAAGAAATGCAATGTTCTAACCTGTAAATTCTATATAAATAATAACAATTTCGAACCTTGAGAATAAAGAGCTTTTAGTTCACTTCCGAACAAGTACGTAGCAAAACCGCACGTGCACGTGGAAGTGTGGAAAACAGATATAATATCGTCAGGTACCACATCTCTGTTAGTATCTAAGAAATTAGAAGCATCATACACTACATTCCCAGCAAAATGGCGAATACCGAAAGCTCTGACATCGGTGGGTTTTATTTCAAAAATCCTGTGAGGGAAATAATAATAATATTTTTAGAAAGCTGTCAAATAGTTTTAAGATAAAAAGAAATTTACCTATTATTAGATTTATGCTGAGCTTTCACTTTCCCAATATACGATTCGGGAGTTCCTCTTACCGAACACTCGGTATCTAACATGCTAAGCAGGCCGGTCCTCTGCACAATAATTAATATTAGTATATTTAAAGGATTATTCGCTAAAATAATTAATTTTTTTTTATCTTACCAGAGATGATATAAGATCGATGCAAGGAACGTTATCCACGTAATCAACTTGAACTTCTGTCAATACTCCTTCTTCCCTGCACGATTCGATGCTGCTCTTAAAAACATGCGTGTTGTAAAAATGCTGTAATGTTTCTGCACACAGATTTATGCAGAGATGCTCCAAGTGACTCGGCTGAGTTATAAATTATATATAATGATTATTTTAAAACGGCAATTAAAATAGAGAGAGAGCGAGAGAGAAAGAAAGAAAAAAAAGTTTAAAGAGTTAGCATTCACCTTACTGTCTTCAAACCCGAACATGTCTAGTATTCCAATGAACCCATCGGTAGCGTGTCGCACCGCTGAATTTAGGACAGTTAACGATTTGCTAACTTTACCCCCTCCTGAGCCCACAGTAGATGCGTGTTGGCTTCCAGTTTCTGATAAGAAGTTTATGTTAAATTCGCAAATTGGAGTCTAAGTTAAAGATTTCGCAATGTGTTTACCTGTCTGATTATGAACGGAGTCGTTGCTGTCGGAGCTGAGCGTACCTGACGTTGAACCGAGACGTTTTAAACTGTTTGCCCTCCTGACTATAGTCGCTACTGTCCTGCAGTAAAGAGCTTTAGCCAATGCATCCCTAGTCATGTTAGACTGTAAAGAATGAATAAGTTTAAAATCTATTCTCTCACTTGTTAATAGCTATAAATTAGAGTATACCATTAAAGCGTCGCTGGCTGATTTTACAAGCTGCCCACGGATGTTTCTCGTGCGAGTAGTCAAACCTTTAAACAGGGCTATGCTAGATATACCCAAAAGAGCTGCAACTGGTTTTATTTCTGTAAGAAACAAAATTATAAGAATTCCTACAAGAAAAAAAAAAGGAAATTAGTTCATCAAAACTGACCATTGCTTCCTTTGACTTCGACTTCGAGACCCGCTCCATCTACAAATTGTATGTTTCCTAATAATAAAACAGCTGCTAGCACACGTACAACATCCATAAAAGGAATGCCCAAAATGGAGAGACATGTCTGAATAATTAAAAAATATATATACATACATGCCTTTGGTGACAAAATAATTAAAGTATCCGTTCAAGAATGTTTTTATCTCACATGTTTTCGGAAAGAAAGATCAAAAATGCTTTTGGTCAGAAATTTTAATTAATATGATAATGTAAACTTCAGTTTTATTATCTAATTTAGCAGTATAGCATTTTTTTTTCCTCCTCCCTCTAGATGTTTTTAAAGACAGGTTTCATTAATTATGTAAAACGGATGCTTGAATTACATAATAAGTACTTAAAATATAAACAAAAATTTTCACTTCGGCTCCATAATAATTAATATAGAAACAATTTAGATATTATGCATATTCATGGCATTCACCTCCGATCTTTCGTGAGATTGTTAAGATTATTTATTTATTTTTTTTTTATCGAAATATATCTTACTTTCCAAGCTAAAAATCTCGCAGCATCTTCGCTTTCGTTTTGGCTCGTGTCTCCTCTATTGAGGTAGTGAAGGTTTTGGATAGAGTAACCATCTAAATACAATTTACCTGAAAAAATTAAGGTTAGTATTTTAAAAAAATAAGATTTTAATTGTTAAAAAAAACGTGTTATCGAGAGGCTTACTTCTTTCTTCCGATGTTAGTCCAGCTAACATTTGATAAAAAATATGATAATTTTTCTCTTTGGGATGAGGACGTACCACTCTGGTCTGGAAGGTTTAATTGCCGTACATAATACAATAAGAAATAAAAAAAATAAAATAAAATAAGCAGGAAGCTATTTTCACGGTTCATACCTGGTCCAAAAAGTAACAGTGAATTTTAGTTCGGTACAGGGCACCATCCGTCATTTGCAATTCGATAAAATGACCCTAAACGAAAAGAACTCATTAGGAAGAGTACAGGGAAATGAAAAAAAGAGGGAAATATCTAAATAGTCCTTTATTGTCTTCTTATAATTTCGGGCGTGTTTAGATTAAAAGTCTTGTCATCATTCTTTCGAATTCCATTTGTTTCCATTGTTGTCTGAGTTGCATTTTCATTAATAACAACACAATTCACGACTGATAAATGAAAGTCGTGCAGAAATTTAAACATTTTTCAATTGGATGAATAGAAAATTACATTAAACGAGTTTGTTTAACTTACTATACGACTAGATTCCGAGTTGGAGGAAGTTTTAGCGGTCCCCAGTGACCTTAGAACTGTAAACGCAGCTGCCAGATGCTTGAAAGCATCGGTTTCTGGCCCACCCCCTGCCACATCGAAGAGTTGACGTAACATGAGCATAGACGAGTAGGTTTTTCCACTCCCGCAGTCCCCACTGAGATTTAAAAAAAAAGGAATGCTGTTGTGTTAGAAAATATTTTTTTTTGGTCGATGGGAAGGATATGGATCTTCTTCTCACCTGAGGATTATGGACTGGGGATAACCAGTTTCTCCATGTTGCCTAACCGCTTCGTGCACGACCCGTAATAACTGTGGACAGCATGATGTAGCACTGTTCAGTGTCAGAGGATTTCCGACATCTTTGTACGGATTAATGGCCAGCAAGATGGGACCGACGTTAGTCTGTATACAGAAAACATAAACATGGTGACTCAAAGAAAGGTTACAAGCTTAAAAATCTCCGTAAAACGCAACTTACGAAGTATTCCCCATTGTAAAACCTTGCCGTGAGAGTCCTCAGCACTGCATCCTCAGTTAGTGGACCTGATAGATGCACTAAATCGTGAACCTGAGCGCAAGCATCATTCTGAGGTAGTTTATCAGCAGATGATGTACAAAGTTCTAAAAATGTACGCCATATTTTATGATGTCAAAAATACATAAATGTGTATTTCACAGAAATGCAACTCACCCCCTTTATGTTGAAACGAAGGTAAAGTCTGATCGTTTAAAGAAGCAACAGTTGCGCCTCCTGTCATATGTAAACGGTTCCTTAATGTCACCAACTCCGAACTGAGACTGCGCAGTCGTTGCTGTAAATGAACGGCTTCGTTCGAGGATGCGACATCTGTTGACAAATTTAAATAAATATCACAAAATGACGTCACAACTAGTATACGATTCTTAGAATTTTACAAATATCCCGGGGACATCCGCTTTATTCGAAATTTATTCAGTATACACAATAAATACGTATTTTTTTTATTATCTTTTTAGGGGGAGTGATAATGAATTTCACAGTTCAATCACCTACATCGTATATCTCGCAACGTTATTGCGACTGACAACATCAAATTAAAGCTGCTGTACTGTGCCGACGAAAAGTTAACTTGTTGACATATCCTGACAAACCCTCCGGGTAAAGTGCCGAAAATACTACATAAATAATTAAAATTTTTAGCATTCAAAATAGCGTTCGAGCCATAAACCAGAACCTTAACCACCTTATATCTTTTAATAACATAGAAGAGAATGCCTGTGATGTTAGTAATCCCATCCAAACTACGTGTTTTATAAATAGTGTTCTTGACCCCGGTGGAAAAAAAGGAAAAAAAACCACATACACACACAAACATATACACATACACATCTACTCTCTATTGCAGTGAAAGATGAAAAATAACTCAACCTGACATCATAAAGAAACCTCCTGAAGGGCAAACACAAGAGGAGAAAATGAAAAGACAAGAAAAAGAAAATAGAAACACGCCAGGAGCATGAACAATACAAGTTTTATCCATTTTTCTTGTATATTCTTTTCCATATTAGGATTCTGATCTACCCTCTTATGGTAGTGTGATGAGAGAGAGTTACAATAATGTAACTGGATAATATTCATATAAATACCAATCGTCTGAGTTTATATGGCGTTCCTTTCACCCAGTTTTTTTTATATCGGCATTTAAATCTCGTCACTGCTTATACACTGTGGGGACTTTTGCCCTAGGGTATGCAGCTACAAAAAGCCCCTACCCTGACCTACAACTACCCTGGCTTGACAAATAGATGATGGGATGCTACAAACTGGTTTCACTCCTAAATATATTCTGATACTTTTGAAAGTCTTAAATGTCGAAGGATAAAAAAAAAGCAATTAAAAAACGACTGGAATTTTCTTGATTCAAAAACACCATCATCATCATCATCATCATCATCGTATACCAAAACAGCCTGGATCCAGTTTATGCATGGTTAGATTTTATTATCTCAAAATGTCGGATATTGTATGTAATATTGTAGAAAATGGAAGATAATGAAACGTTGATAAGTGCTAGTCATGAATTGTTTGTTTTTAAAAACGTCACAACCGTCAAATTGTTCAAATTTGAAATTAATGATATGAAAAATGTTAATTTTTAAATGGATGATATCTGCTGACCGCAGGAATTTTAGGGAAGTTATTTTGGCTAGTGAATGGAGAAAAGTATTATGGAAAATTTTAAACAAATTGTGCTGGAAAATTTCATAAAATAACAGGAAAATAAATATTTAAATGTTAGAAGAGTAAATAAAAATTACAGAATGTACAGTTCTAGAATATATATAATAACATGTATTATTACATTACAATACATTATACAGGCAAAAAATGTTAGAAAAAAAAATCTACAGAACTAAAAGATTACACTTTAAACCCAGAAAAATATAATAGAAACGCAAAAAATGTTAGAAAAAAAAATCTACAGAACTAAAAGGTTACACTTTAAAGTCAGAAAAATATAATAGAAACGGGACAGATAATATAATAAAAAATACTGTAAGTTTATCTAATTTTCAGTGAAGCTATTATTACTTTGTTTCATATATTTATTTAAATTTCCTTAATTAATCCTAGAAAGTAGAAACAAATTATAATAATTAAGAAATTTATATTAGCTGATAAGAAAAATAGAAACAAGAAAGCAATAAATTAAAATAAATGAAATTACAGAGAAAGCAGGAAAGTTGAGAAAAAATAGGATTATAGGGAAAGTAGGAAAAGTATAATCAAATAGAAAGTGGAAAAACTAGACAGATAAGTAAAATATTCCCGAAAAGATTTCTGGAAAAATATACAAGAATAAGAAAAATGACTTTTTTTTAAAGTTAAAAATCAGAATTTATCAATTAAATATGTAAATCGGACAGGTTTTAAAACACATTATATTTTAATTGCGGAAAAGCATTAACTTCATTTAAAGTTTTAGGTCTGCACTAAGCAAATAATTGGCATAACTTTGGTATAACATGAAAACAATTGCACTAATAACAAAGTGATTTATATATTTATAAATAAAATAAATATTCACTACTGATAAGTGTGATTAAATATAAAACACTGCTTTACTAGTGCGTAATTATACAAAAACCCCACACGTTTTCGGGCCTATAGACTAATCTTCGAAGAACATAATCTGAAGTTTTTTGTTTTAGATTTTGTTTCTGAACATGGGTTTATAAACTTATAAACCTTTCGGATTTTTTTTGTATAAATTTTCACTAATAAACACACGTCAGCTACAAACAGTTTGTAAATTATTTTCTTCGTTTTACTGCACGATTTTTGTTTATAAATGTGAAATGATTTACTAGATTGCTTAGTTTGAATGAAAATTAGTACATTTTTTTCTGTGGATTTCTGAATTATGTCCTCCTGCAAATGAGTTTAGTCTAGAAAGCAATTCAAATAAAGCAGTGTTTTACAATATTCAACAGCTTACGCATAGAAAAACTAATTCTATTATGTGAAATATCACATATTCCATAAAAGAGAATAACATTTTATATGCATTATATGAAATTCCATATAAATATAGCTCTAATAGTGTTCATCATTTAGCTTCTTGTTTGGATCTGTATCAAATTATTACTACAGCAACCTATATAGTGCTATTTCCCCCCCAAAAATAATTATAACATTACTTTTTGGGAAAACAGCACTATTTAGGTTGCTAAAATAATAATTCTAATAGTGTTTCATACTATTCAGCAGCTTAGACATAAGAGAAGTCTTACATCACATGGAATTTATGAAATTCCACATAGTATACTTCTTATAATACATGTAAGAAGTATGTTATATGGAATATACTTACATAGAATGGAGTTTAATTAAATATATAAGGACATTTTTATAAAAAAAAAAAAATAAGAAGAAGAAGAAAAATGGCTGAATCATTGGGATATTTTAAAGTAAACTCTTAGAGTAAGCAAATTACAATCTTGGTAATTTTTTTTTTTGGTGGTTCCGGTCAGATTTTGCTTCTATTAATTCTGTCTTCACATCATAATGAGATAGAGAATATATACTGTATTTTTTCCAGCCTATCTGCCGCCTTCTCTCTATCGTTTGCGAAATGACTGCCTTCAGGTATCATCCGACGATTCTAAGAAGTTTCTTACTTTATTGCCGTCTTTTCTGCACTGTGACTAAGAAATGATATGTTATTAGGAGTCTTGGGAGAATTTTAATGTCAGATCCTCGACAATCAACGTTTGATGGAGATAATTCCTCCCTTCGGCCATTTTTTTTACCTTGCTTTAAGACACTTTTTCCCTAATCTTCGCCATTTTTCCCATACTGCGTAATTCGGCGACGTAATCGTTATTAAAACATTTTATTTTTTATTTTATTTTTTTTAAAAAGTCGGACATGATCTCTTATACTGCTATAAATTAATATTATAACTTTGTATTTATTAATAAAAGGTATATAAAATCATTTAGTTATTGTTTAAAAATTAAAACATTCGATGACGGCATTAACCAGACGATTTAATAAACATTCTAAAAATCATATTAATATTAATTTACTTTCATTTATTATTAATTTATTATAAAAATATTTTATTCAAAAATTATAATCGAGTAAAATCGTTTGATAAATTTGTTATAGTGACGTTTTATTTTAAAAAATTAGACGTATGACGTCACTCTCCGTTTTTGTTTTATTTTTAAATTCTCAAATGAAATTTTAATCCCGGCGATGTTTAATATTTTTTTAAGTGTAGAGTATAAAATTATTATTCTGTGTTCAGAACTGATTAAGATCGCTTCGATATCATCATCATTATAAACAGCAAGGATAGAAGAATGACGTAGAGAGTTAACGAAATGAAATTATTTAATAAGGAAAACATTTCATAGATTATGATATTTATCGTTAGTTGCTAAGTGTAAATGTGAATAGTAATTGTATTTTATGAAATGTTTTTATATATTAATTCAGGGACGTGATTGTGACGTCATTAGTTGGGAGCCTTTTTGGCTTTGATTACTCCAAATGTCAGGAATGTCTCCATAGTAATTACATATAAGCGATTTGGAATATTAATATCTAGTTAGTAATCTAGAAAATGGACATATGACATCAAAACAAGTAATTTTCCGTGGCGTCATTAATGACAGAACCGTCTCTGGCAGAGGTCGTTCGTCCTCGCGGTGGGTTTACCTGTTGATAGAGCCCCACCTGGGGACAGGACCACACCCACCAACCAAGCTGCAGGACATGATCTGATTACTTCAAAATAATTCTGGTATGCAGACCTCTCTATCATTAGCACCATACTTCCTTCTCGAACAGCCACCATCTTCACCAAACATAGAATGTAGCCCTAAATCTAAAAATGAAAGTATTACCCCTACGAAACAACTTCAGACACGCTTTTGCAATACCCCAACCGCTCCCCATCTGAAAAGAACTATCCTTCATTCATGACAAGTTCTTTTTTCTCTCTCTTTCCTTTCTTCCTTTTAGACGAGCGGCAGCGGTTGTCGGTCCGTAAACTTAAGCTACAAACTACATTATTAGTTTTTTAAACAAACGAAATTCTCTCTTTCTATCTCACTCATTCACCTTAACTACCGAAGCGAAAGGAATATTATTAAATAAATGCAGAAATAGCCACGTCTGCTTACTCCGTTATGGAAATAAAAAGTGTACGACAAAGGTCAGTGTTTGGCGGGAAAGGCCGAAAGAGTTTCCTGTCCAACTGGTTCTATACGTCTGAATTTTTGTCATCGGTCAGTCCAGCAGGAACTTCATTCACTTCCGTTATGTAACTGTACGTTTAATCGAAACGATTTAAACACTAATCGATTTTGCTTTTTGTTTAAAGCGTAAAGCTTTAAAAGGGCTACAAAACTCGACTTACGTAACACACAAAACATAAAAGCTTCCTTACATCTCACCTTGCAACTTTTTCTCTGCCTCCCAAAACTTCTGCAGTTCCGTGAAATATTTGTCTAATATGAACACCTTCGACATACCTACAGTTGCCATACTTATCCAAAAATAAGCGCAGTTTAAATTTTATCCATGATACGTATCATAGCATCCATTTCTGTGCAGCCTTGTCAAGGTCTCACCCTATACTGTTGTTGCTTCGTAGAAAACACAGCCAAGGGACCTCCCATAGCTACCAGTGAGAGACTGTTTAAGCAAAGCCGCTCCTCAACACCTAGTGACGCCGATGGGTATTTTGCACTATCCTGATTGGTTACTAACCTTATAGCCCCTGGGCACAAGGGATACTGGTTCGGAAGACGCGCGTCTTCGCAATGAAAGGAATCGCTGTTTCTTGCTCGCTTTAAAATATGTCGGCCGTCGTTTTTTTATTCGCTTAGATTAAACTATAAATTCTCTTAAATGCAATAAATTCTATGACATAGATTCTTTCGAAATTTTTATTCTTGCCGATTTTACTAATCAGAATATTTTTATTAATTAATTAATTATATTATCGTCACATAAAAAATTAAAAAAAGCGTATTTAAAATATTTATTTAAACTAAAACAAATGTGTATTATGTATACAATACATCGGATTTAAAATTTTCAATTTATAAAACGTAATTTTAGCTTCGACCAATAGCGTGTTTGCTCGTGCTGGATGAAAGCTGAAGCCATTTAGTAATTTTAAAATATTTAATGACATTTAAAATATATTCATAAATATTCTTTTTTTTCAAATAATAATAATTACTACTACTGTAAATAAAAATAAACGAATTTATCGATAATTTTGAAATTCCACTTTAAGCTATCAAATTAAAATTTTTTTATTCTAGAATCTTCGATATGACGTCACTACTCGATATAAATTTAATTGCTAGAAAGAAAAAATGACATCCAAATAGATGATAAATTTTACAATTAAAATTCATATCTGATTATCTAAATGATATTATTTAAATGTAAAACATTTATATTACTTGAATTTGCAACATTTTCGAATTTAATTAATGACGCCATCCTAATGTTTTTTTTAATTTATAAAAATATTAATAGAAAATTTCGTTAATGATAATTTTAATTAATTTGAATTAAATTAGTTTTAAAACTTATTTTAAATATTACATTTTCTTCGACATAAAATATAATTCTATTAAATATGTAATAAGTAAATTTTACTAAGCAATGATGTCATAATTTAAATTCAACCAATGAATTTTAGCCTATTATTATTTAATATTTCTGTAAATATTCAAAAACCATTTAAATAACTAAAGTTTATATATGCAAATTAGTATTTCTGTAGGCTTATTTAAACATGTTATATAGGATAGCAAATAAAACAGCTCGTCCTGCCATCTCGTAACAAAAAATGCAATTACATTAAAATAATTTTAAAAAATTAATAACTTTAAAATTTTAACAAAATTATAATTTAAATAACAATATAATAATTTACACGGATACAAAAACAATATATTAATTTATAATACATAAACAATTTGGCAAATTTGTTTATTAATTAGTATTTATAACTTTCGATAATTTTTATCATATAAATTGGAAAAATTAATAGATTTTTTGCTACATAACAATATTTATAAAAGTCTTAAATATTTATATAAACAATTTTTTAATTAGTGTACGATTTTATCAAACAAATTTGCTGATATTCTGAATACAGAAACCGTGACACCAATTGGAAGAGGGTAAAAAGTTAGTTAATTAATTTTAATGAAAAAATTGAAGTTTTTAAATTTTAAATAAACTGAAAAAAAAGTAAAAAAAACTATCCTCCCCGGCGGGGAATCGAACCCCGGTCTCCCGCGTGACAGGCGGGGATACTTACCACTATACTACCGAGGACTTGCGTAAATCTTCTCTTAAAATCACACTTATAATTTACTATTTTTTTCCATGAATAATAATAAATATCTTTGAAATGGTTTATTTCAGAAATATGCACTATTGTTTAACATTTACAAAGAAAATTCTATTATAAGTAATAATTTACTTTACATTTCCACTTTAATCTTTGTTTTGTTACACAAATATTAAAATTTGTTAGGGAATTTTATGTAGAATTACGTAGAGTGGTGATTTCCCTAAAAGTACTTTTGTTTCGTCCTTAATTCTTATTAGTTTATAATCTCAATTTATTATATTATTATATATAATTTCCATAAACTAGATTATTATTTAAAGAAAATAATTCTTCGAAGTTTTTAAATTACGTAATTAAGAGGATTATTCCAGTTGGGGAATTTCCCTAACTTGTCGGCAACAATATCCCTTTCAATAATAATCGTCTATTATTAAATTCCCTAAATTGTCAGAACTTTCTTATTAATTAATACGGGGAATTATTTTATCAGTCTATACGAACATTAAAAAAACATCTTCAAATTCTTATGCAAAAATACCCTCACGTATACATGAAGAATTAGAAGGTAATTCCCTACAATTTAGGAAATTTCCCTATATTGATTTAAATTACGAGAATATTCCTGTGATACAGGAATTTTTACCAATAGTTCAGGGAATTTTCGCATAGGAATTTGAAAAACTAAAACATTCAACAGGTGTTACTTCAACTCGGATAGCGTAAACACCACGCATTACGAGTTAACAATCGAAAATTTAGAGCCATTGCCAGGTTAATTGGAAGTGATAGAGCCGTGACACGGTCGTCGGGATCAATCAATGACAATAAACATAACCGGGGGCGACAAAACCCGAACGGGATCGCGTGCAACAGTTCCACATGTCCAAGACGCATGTGACAGTTCACATTAATGTTGATATAAATCAACAGACGGGATTCGTTACGGCAACAAAGTATACAACTGGCAATAACCAAATGTATTAAAGGGAGTGAATAGATAGAGATAAATCTTAACAGAGAATACGCGCCATGATTAAGTGAAGGGGTTAAACACTCCTGACGGCACCATTTTGGTTTTAATTAATGTTTAATAAAAAAAAATGGCAGCCCGTTGCGCTAATTGAGTACGCCTATTTTGCGAAATATATGTACTATTGCCCACTAAATAAAAAACGTAAAATCAATCATGCATACACGACTCGCTGGTATTTTCGAAACTTCTTAACCGATTTTCTTGTGCATCCATGCGTTGCTCCATGTAATGTACAGCGTACAAGTGTATAAAACCGAAGTGGCAACCTTACTCTGAGTCTTTGACGTCAGCCTACTCAAATGTTGTAGCAGGAAAGTTTAAAAATGGCTTCGGATGGGCAACTACGTTTTCGAATTTATATGGAAAAATGGCGTGCAGTGACGTCACGGAGACGGGCCATTAACGATGCTTGTAGGATGGGAAAAAAATTTTAGTTTCGTGGTCGCCCGTACGGATCGTGTATTAGATGCGACCCATTAAACACGCTAGTTGAGCGATTATTGTCGAATTTGTCTCGTGCTGCTGCACAGAAATGGTTTAAAACAAGTGGGAAAACATGGCCGAACTACAATGGGATCGAATTTTCTCATCGCGCATTTTTTGAAATTAATGCATGACCAGTGCAATTCCTACCTCCGAAATGTATATAATTTTCAATTTCCGTCCGGTGTTGCTTAGCCACTTTTTTCGTGGCTTGGGGGAAAGAAAAAATGGCTAACTTTAAACATCGACTAAAAATTAATTACAAGATCCTAGAATTGCTGCGCCTCTGGGTATTTCGGACAATAGATCGTGACGCGTAATACGTAAACGCGCGCGCTATCTAGACCACTTTTTTTCTCCCCTCAATATACCTATTAATCCTTCCTTGTTCTGTCGTGCCCGTCCGCGTCGTGGTAGCGTGGCATAGGGTAGGCTCTCCTGTGGCATAATCTCGCGAGGGACTTGAGGGCACAGTTCCTCGTCGCTCTTCCACCTCCACGTCATTCCCGAACGTGACGGCGCATGGTTCCAGTAGGCGCATCCTGAGCGCCCGTCTCCCTGTCTCATGCTGTGTATGGCCCTCAGATTATCACGTATCTTCCTCAGTTCCCTCTGATAGACGTTCAGCAATGCCAATTCGTCCTCTTCTTCCTCGTCCGTGTCCTCCGAAGTCATATCCGTTTGGCTATCTTCGTACAACTGGTCTGGCAGGAGGACGCACCGCGACATTTCTGGCATTGTCCCCCTGGCGACCCGTCTCAACTACACCGGCGCCTTCTCCCCATTGGTCGGGACGCGGTAAACACTTAAAGCACGTGCCCCGCGCCGCACACGTAACGTGACCAGCGCGTGAGAAACGCCAACCGAGCGTGAATCGCCCGCTTCCCAACGTGGTCTCGCGCCATTAACAACGTGCAACTTCCTTTTTTGGGGTGTCTCGAGTGTTAAAAATGAGCGCCAGAGAGAACTTTTTTTGGAATGTCACACTTTTATTTACGATGAATTTTATGAATCAAAACTACTTACAAGTAATGAGTACTACCTGTATATCCCCCACATCTTGCGTAAACTGAGATTACCATTTTTTTTTTCAAATCTAACTTCTACTTAATCTAGAATTGTACAATACTACTGATAATGGGCATTTTGTTTAATGATGGCAGTGAATACAGTACAGTGAACAGTTTCACAGTACTTTCAAGTATTGAGTAACTTCGAGGAGGAAAAAAAGTGAAAAATTTTCAAAATACTTTTTTTTGATGTCATTTTTTTTTGTTATTGTGAAGTCACTATACCACATACTTGTATTTTGTGCATTAGAATTTTTTTTGGACAGATTTTGCTAAACCTATATTAATATAGCCAAAAAATGACAATTCAAGACTGAAGAAGAACAAGCACATATTACATTTCTACAACACAATTTTTTAGCTCACAAGATCTACGAAGATCACTGTAAATTTTTTTACGACACAAAAACAGTACAAAAACACACTGCTTCCACCCTTTTTTTTTTATATATATACCTCGGATTTATGTTGAGCTGATGAATAACTTACAAACTTGCCTTACAAAAAAATTTTTCTTTTAATGACTGCAGAAAATAAAAAGTTCATATTTCATGTATAAAACATTGCCGAATAATGATGAACACTTATTGGGTTTATGGTGATGATGTGCTTTTTTTCCCCTCACATTAAACAAACGGGCAGTGTAAAAGGACTCTTATGCACGCTCTCCGCGGATCCGTCTGGCCAGCTGGATATCTTTGGGCATGATAGTGACACGCTTGGCATGGATTGCACACAGGTTAGTGTCCTCAAAAAGACCAACCAGATAAGCTTCACTTGCTTCCTGAAATAAAATAAGCAAATTTTTATTAGATCCAGTATTTTAAAAAGAAGCAAAAAAGGTTTAAGATAAATGCAAATTTAATGACCTGTAAAGTGACAAGGTATATTCACGCTCTACATACAGTTATAACAATGTTTTTTTTACCTTCCTATTTAAAAAGCTAAACTGATAGTAAAACACTTTAAATGGGCAATTTGCTGTCGTTTTTGGTTTGATCTTCGACATAAAATTTTGTTTTTGCATTGAAAGGGCAATAAATTAAAACTTTGCGCTACCAAATATTCAAATACAAGATAATAATTTTTTATTTATATATTTATTTTATAACAATAATAAACAAGTTTCTTGTACAAAGGATATAATAAAAACATAAGTCAACCACAAATTATGAACAAACTGGCTGTACAAGGATTAATTTTCCTCATTATAAGCCATAAGATTTTATGTTGTATGTGTTTATCTAGCCTCATTTCAATCTAATACCCAATAACAACACATCAAAATTTCAATTTAAGTTTTATTCACTATTATAATAGAAAAGGTATCAGGATACAATTTCTCATTAGAATGTAAGTGATATTTTTGTTAATTCCAAGACAAATAGTGAAATTGCTTTAAAGTAGGCCTCGTAAAAATCTATGAGAATCTTACTATGGAAGAGAGAAAGACATTAGCAAACATGAATAAAGAACCAAACTATTGTATATCACATTAACAATTGTATGGATGCAAATATAGGATAATTTCACTCATCACTGAATACTCTAACACAAAATACAATTACTCTAACCATTATGTGCACACTAAGATGAATAGAATTTATACTAAATAATATGGCAAGTCTTAAAATAAGAAAACAAAACTGATTAATTTCTGTGAAGGAACGGGTCAAAATCAATAATTAAATATGAAAAGGTAATCTAAGTTCAATTTATTTAATATATTAAAACTATTTGACATTGAAGATTTTAAGTGCACACAGACAAACTTTTCTTTTTGCTTCACTCAACTTTTCAATTCAAGATTAATAGTAGTAATTCTAACCCACCCAAGCAAGAACCAATGTCATGCTTCCACGAAACTGGAACGATACAAAGATTTTATGTATTGTTGAATTCAAGTTTAATAATGTATTTCGATTAGGTAATCATGTTTTAGAACACACTTTTTATAAAATTTATAACATTAGAAATATAGTCACATAAAACACAATTTGCAAAAATTATTGGAAAGATCAAAACAAATTTATTCAGAGAAAGAAAGGGAGAAATAATCAAGGTGTAAAATCTTATTACAAAGTTAAAACTACTCAGCACGCCTAAATCTGAAGTCTTCAAATTGTCTCATTTGAACAACGGCGTGCGCACACACTGAACCAGAATATATCTTGTGTCTGCTATGTAATAACCAAATTCAATTGCACTGGAATATAGATAAATAAACAGTGGACTATTTGTTGGTTTGGATGCCATGCACTGTAGCCTCTCTTGCACAATGTAAATCCTATCTTGAGTGCAATGATAGAAAATGGCATAGTTTAAATTACAAAGTCAGTGTCAAGACCAGTACATAACACTTTCATCTAATTAAAATACTTAAAATGGAAATGGCTTCACATTAAGAAGAGTGGTGGAACCATGAGGCTTCTCTGCATGGTTCTGAGTGTTCAAGGCCATACAGAGAAGCCTCGCATAAAGCCTACTCCAGTGCAATTGTATTTAGTTATTTTACACAGCAGACAAGATTTAGTCTGATTCAATGTTTGTGTCTACATTTCACATAATTTTCATTATTGTATAATGGAGAAATTTGTCTTGTTTTATTAACAGCACATTCCACTCTAAAGTGCAACTTTTAAATTATATAGGTTTTCAATAAATTGTAAAGAACAAAATATTATTTTCCAATCAAAGCAAATTATTTAGATCTTTTAGCTACATAGAATTTTTTCCAAAACATTAAACCTTTTAAAATATTGGGTTGTCCAAAGTTTGTGCCGATTTTGAAGGAAAATTGAAATGCAGGAGATTTAAATTTTAGTACACATTAAATTATATAGGTGCCATTCTGTTCTACAACCTTTCTCCATTCTTCAGGCAACTTGAAAATCCCGTCTTTCCAGAATCTCTCAGGTTTTTCAGCGAAAAACTTTTTTACGTGATTTTTTATCTTGATCAAAGAGTTGAAGTTTTTCCATTAAGGAAATTTTGTAATGATCGAAATAAGTGGAAATCAGAGGGTACAAGGTCTGGTGAATGGGGTAGAACATCCCAACCGAGCTCCAACAATTTTTGTTGAGTTATCACAAAGACACATGAGGCCGTGCATTGTCCTGATGAAACATGATGTCCTTCAGAGTTGCTATTTCTGGATGTTTTTGTTCAAATGTTGTCTTTAATTAATCTAATTGGGAACAATACTTCTCTGAATTTATCATCTTGTTGTTTGGTAAAAGCTCATAATACAGGATCCTTTTCCAATCCCACCAGACACAGAGCATGATCTTCTTTGGATGAAGACCAGCTTTTGGGGTGGATAAAAAGGTGGTTCATTCTGCTTTCCCCAAGATCTTTTTCGTTCAACATTATTATAAATGATCCATTTTTCATCCCCTGTCACTACTTGCTTCAAAAATTGTCTCCTCGTTGTGTTTATAAAATGAGTCACAAATGGAAATGCGATCCATCAGACTTTTCTCCGTTAAATTGTGGGGAACCATACATCAAAACGGTTTATGTAGCCAATCTTTACAAAATGCTCATGGATGGTGGATTTTGACATATTTAACATTTCTGCTAATTTACGTGTCATATAGTGTGGGTTATTCTCAATCAGTGTTTCAGTTTGACCTTCACCTGTGGTGGAGGGCATACCTGGGCACTCTTGATATTTAAGGTTGAAATCACCAGCTTTAAACCTAGCAAACCCCTTCCACAAAGTTCTTTCAGCTACAACACCTTCGCTATAAACAGCACATATCTTGTTTGCCGCTTGTATGGCATTTTTGCCTTTCTGGTAAAATAAAAGCATTAAATGCCTAAAATGCACTCTGTTTTCTTCAATATTCAAAGGCGTATTAAACTGACAAAAACTAACATATCATAACCAAATTTTTTTCCAAATATACCTGAAGTACTGTCTTCTACGATGTGTACGCACGTCATTTCTTTTTTACCGTTCCGACATGTTCAGACCTGTCCTTATGCCACCTACCAAAAATCAGCACAAACTTTCAGGACGACCCAATAGAAAAGGTTAAAACTTAAAGTAAACGAATTTCAAAAACATAGATTAGAGAGAAAAAAGAAAAAAGCTAAAAGCTAAATTAAAGTTATTATATACGGTAACAAGTTTTTTACAAATGCTGATAAACTTGTTTAATCTAATTAGTGATGCATAATAAGATCATTAAGTGCAATACTGAGTAGTGTAATTTCTGAAATACAACTATTTGTTATAATTATTATTATGGTTGTTTAATTCACATTATCAAAATATAACAATTGTGAAATTTTAATGTGAAAAAAGATGCAAAATAGCATAAGAACACAAATGCTTTTCATAAAAATAAAATATAAACTTAACTGCCAAAAAATGACTAAACAGCAGACTAAATGCATAGTTCCTTTTGAACTAATAACTATGATGTAGCATAGAATTTACAAGGTTCTGGTGTCAGTGTGTGAATATAGTCATCAAGCTATACTGCATGGTAGTCCATAATTCTACTATATTGGTCAGATGTAACGCAAAGCCAAAATGGTTGCATACTGCCCCAAAAGTGCTCAACTGGGTCTAAATCCAATAAACAAAATCCAGCTAGTCATTGGAATGTTCCTCAAACCAATCTCACCTGTGTATGATGTAGAGTGGTATTGTTCTGTTGAATTAACCCATCTCCATGAAGGAATGTTTGAAATATACAGGGGTAAAGATAACCAGCAATAATATGTAATGGAAACCTCAAAACTAAAATTTATACTACTTGTAGTCTTAATTATTATTATTGATTATCATCAATTTAAGAATGTCCAAAGTAATTACAATAGAAATATTTGGAAACTGAGTGGTCTCTCATTTACTGATCCAAGAATTCTTAAAACTCACTTTTCTGTAAGCCAATCCAGGTTGCATGTTTGTTAAAAAAAAGATTTTGAGATCAGATAATATGATTTCATAATACTCTTTTCAATAACTATTACAATTTTATTACTAACATTTACCTCAAACATTCACTATTCTAAAATATGATTTGAAACCTAATACACTATACAAATTAATTGCATTCATATCATCATCAATTCTTTCTTGACTTACATTTTGTGCATGGATGACAGCAGGGGCAACATTATCTTCTGGAACAGACCACCCTTATGAGGGAAACGATGAAGCATGACCAGGGGAAAATGATCAGCACAATGTTAGTGTAGATGAACTTGTCTTAATACCATCCATCTTCACTAGTAGTTCAGAAGATACCAAGCAAAACATGCCCCAGACCATTACAATTATGCCACTCACCTGAATAATGCCATGCTCACATGAGATGTCCACAGCTTTGTATGGTTTTCTCCAAACATGTATCCAATCATCCAGCCCATAAAAGTGGTCTGAACAGACATCATGATTCCAATATCAGTGGTCAAATGTTCTCTGGTCCAGGCAAGCCCAACCACCAAACATTAGGTATCACTACAGGAACACATGGGTCAACAAGTGTGAAAGCCCACAGAATGGATTGTCCTGTTCAATCCTTTGACTAGTGGTTCAACTAACATTGGCATTGAATTGGGATGTGATTTTATCCTGTGTCATGCAGTGGTTACCAATTAGACAAGCATTGGCAATTTATCTGACCATTCACGAGTGTTCAAACACTAGGTGAAGCCATGATTTGTCTGAATTTTGATATTTGCAGTGATTCATGAAAATACAAAAGCTGTGGCCACTTCAGATATGGAGTGCCCAGCCATCTGGTGTCAACAATCTGTCTGTGGTTGAAGAGTGATAAATCCTTCCACATGGCATTATGAATACTGTACACTATTAGAAAACACTTTGATTGTGTTTGCGTAACTATGTAAATTTGGACTGATCTCATTATCACACATAATGTATGTTGATTATAATTAAAGTATTGATGTCTTGAGAAATTTTGGCACTTCAGTTTAATACAGTACTAAACATTATTTTTGTTATGATGCAATACACGGAGTGAATACTCATGTAAGCTAAATTAAATGTTCAAGAATTCAGATGCCAGCTTTAAGAGCAATCATGTAACCCCTCAGTTTCTAAATACATTCAATATGTAAAGTCTAGTACATTATAAAATGCTAATAACTCAACAAGAAAATATTGAACATGCATTGTATCTATTTTCTTTAACTACCATGCAAGATTTTTCTTACTTTAAATGTTTAATGACTACAAGAAACCAAATTTTAATCTAAATATTTCCATAAAATAATAATATGCATAATATTGGATTAAATTTATAAATACGGAATTAATTTGAAAAAATTATATCTTTGTAATGTTAAGTATATTTTAACCTATTTTATTTGTTGCCTGTGATGCCATATTATTCAATATATATATATTGAATAATATAAAAACAAAAAAAATTTTATTTTAAAAGTTCATTTTGATATAATAATTGTGACGCAAAAAGCGACATCTAGTATCAAAAACGTTCCAATGTAAACACAAATATTCGGGATCGCTCACGCAGGTCAATGAGGTCAACATGAATATTTTCGGGATCAACATAGGACAGGTTAAACTCAAATATATCTTATTTACTCTGCTAATTTTGAAAAGGATATGTTGAAAATGGCATAAGAAAACAACACACACAAAAAGTATTATCAAACAAAATATTGTCAATTTTGTTAAAAATAGCAATATAAAAAATACTGTCATTTTTCACATAAATGGAAACAATCATTAAACTGAAAAACACAGGTGTTTTGTTTAAAAATAAATAATTATATATATTTTTATTTTAAATTGCTAAATCCATTATTTTGAAAATATTACAAGTCTTGCTCACTTGCATTATTTTCAAAATAATAAAAAAACCCTCTAAATTATTGACCTACTTTTAAAACTAAAATTGATAATTTGTACAATTTCTCTGATTTAGGAGGAAAATATTTAATTAGTTTAAACAAAATACTACAAGCAATTTTCAGTAAATTTAAACTTTTTTTAATATACTATAACAGCATGATAATGCGTATATTCCATATATTTTTAAACATCCTTAAAAGCAGTTCCTAAATTATCAGAGTAGCAAAGTTACTTGTAACAAAGAAAAATATTTAGCTGTATAAATAAGAACAAACACAACCAAGAATTAAAATTAAACAGATTAAAGTTTCAACCATCTTCAGATTCTAGAATGGAAAGAATTCAAAACACAAATGAAATAGAAACTAGCACCAAATAAAATTATTTAACCATTAATGTAAATATAGAGCATGAAATTACTTGAGAACAAAAAGAAAACCTCTCCAGATATTAGGAAGTATGTCCGATTTTTCCAATTAAGCTTTTGTCCATAAAAATCTAGGGTTTCTGCAAATTTTGTCACATTTTTTGGCAGTGGCATCTAAAATAATATATTTAAATTGCTAAATCCATTATTTTGAAAATAATACAAGTCTTGCTAATTTGCATTATTTTCAAAAATGAAAAAGCAGCTTTGATCAGCAAGCCAAATTGTGTACATTAGTGTAGATGAACTTGTCTTAATACCATCCATCTTCACTAGTAGTTCAGAAGATACCAAGCAAAACAAGCCCCAGACCATTACAATTATGCCACTCACCTGAATAATGCCATGCTCACATGAGATGTCCACAGCTTTGTATGGTTTTCTCCAAACATGTATCCAANTTTTTTGGCAGTGGCATCTAAAATAATATATTTAAATTGCTAAATCCATTATTTTGAAAATAATACAAGTCTTGCTAATTTGCATTATTTTCAAAAATGAAAAAGCAGCTTTGATCAGCAAGCCAAATTGTGTACACAATCATAAGGTGGGCCACAAACATTTTACATATATTCCATGCATACAAAAAGTAGGTTTATTTTTATCTTTTTTTAATAAGTGATGTGTCATTTAAAAAAACAAATCATTTAAATATGTTCATCAGGCTTATGTGCACTGTACACCAGATTTGGTCCAGGAAGCCTTAGTTTAGGCACAATTTTATAGAATGATTATCAAGTAATTAGTTTTTTGTGGACTGAAGCAAATATTGATTGAACTTGAAAACATCAGGCTCTATTGCCATGCACTTCCTAATGCATGACAATAATAATAGAGGTATTGTAACAGTATTGAAGTGACCAAGTAAAGCTACGTAGTACAAACTCAATTTTCTGCTGTTACCTGAGAAATTTTTCATTCCTAAAACTGAATAAACCAATAGATTTTATGCCAATTTAATGTTGCATTTAGAATTAATAATTTTATGAAGCTGGACATTATTATTAAATGAAATGTTTACTTGGTTCTTACTGTTCACACCATCTCTACTCTTAAAATCCTCCTGTTATCAATGTTTGTTTCAGCCTAAAAATACTTTCAGGATGATGACTAAATTATTAAACAAAATGAAGAATTCTGTTCTAGCAAAGTTTGGGTATCAAAGATATACAAGTACTTTCTAACATCAGGGTTTCCCAAAAATAATTTCAGACTATTCTTTCCATGTAACCATATGCTTATGTTCAGTTGTATTTTGAATTCTTTCCATTTTAGAACCTACTTAAAATGACTAAAAGGAACAAGTATTTTCATTCACATTGTATTTCAAACGATTTTCTTTTGAATTGGAAGTATAATTTTTGTAACCTAATTTTTCTGCACTTTAATTACTATTGCAAATGATAAGACTTTTTAAGATAAAGATGTATTGCCATAAAATTTTAATGCAAGTTTTAAACATTTCATTAATAAATGCTTAAAAATTATTTATTTAACTTAACATATCAAAACAAATTTTCCTTTAATCTGTGTGATAAAAAAAAACCTTATGACATTGTAGGTGCTTGGGTAACCACAAAGTTTTCATCTTAATTTTAAAATATTTATGGTGGTATTTAGTTTAGTGGTAAATGCATATATTGAAAATACAGTATATTTATGTTTATGCCAGTGGTTTTTAAGTTTATTTGAGCATGCATTTGGAACTATAGTCTTGTCTGAATACTCCTAGCAGCACAACAACTGACTTTATAGTGCAAGAAATTGGTAAGCCTGAATTCATTGTGCAGACAAGTGTTAGTGTTCATAGTTAGAAATGCAATCTGTATTGAGTAGGGCTGGTAATAAACCTGGTCCAAGTCAAGGTTCTATTCCAAAACCAGGATGATAGGTTTGTAGAAACACATTTTGTTTTGTAATATCTTGTGATACAAGAATTACAAAACAATGTAATTAAAAGTTCTTGGTGATAACTGATTTGGTGTAATTAGGAAGGAAACAAATAATTGTGTAAAATGTCTGCATGCATGTGTTTGTTCCTAAAATATATTTTGAATGGTTTCCGAGATTGATTTCAAATGTTATAAATGTAATGAACTAAAGGAAAGAAACATTTTCTAAATATATGCAGTGGAATTTTGTCTTTCCAGACTGGCACTTACTATATTAATAGATACCCAGGTGTGTACATCATAAGAGTGTAAAAACTTCAGATATTTTATATTTAAAAAGTAACAAAAAGAAACTAAAAAATAGTATAAAGTGTGTCACAAAATTAATTTACAGATTCACAGAACCAGCAACCAATGTAACTTGAAACTCAGAGAGCACTGTTTGAAAGCACAAAAGTTATTGGGTACCTTCCCAGACAGAAAGGTTAATAAATTCACGATTGTTATATATTAAAAATGGATCAAACAAAATATTTAAAATGTAACATACTTGCAAAGCACCAATTGCAGCACTCTGGAATCGAAGATCTGTTTTGAAATCCTGTGCAATTTCTCTCACAAGTCGCTGAAATGGCAATTTTCTGATGAGCAATTCTGTGGACTTCTGGTAACGTCTGATCTCACGAAGAGCAACAGTACCCGGTCTGTATCTATGAGGTTTTTTTACACCTCCAGTAGACGGAGCACTTTTACGGGCTGCTTTGGTTGCCAACTGTTTACGTGGAGCCTTACCACCAGTAGATTTACGGGCTGTTTGTTTTGTACGTGCCATTTCTCTTAAGTATTATCTGAAATTTTATATTAAAATAAACATTTAAAATTTGTTATTGATTTCAAAACATGATCGTCTTACAGTAATCTTATCAACATTTTTTAGACTTTAAAATAACAATCTTTCAGTCCTATGAGAAATTGTTGCCAACTTTTCACATTATTGTAATAATATACAAAACTAAAAATATCATTAATCTTGACATAATTCAATATAAATGAATATAGGAAAAAAAATCATGTCACAAATCAAAAGTAACTTTTACATTATTTCACTAAATCCAACATATTTTCAAATAATTTTGAAGACAAAATGAACAACATTCAAATTAAACAACATAAAGAGCTGATTTGGCTATGCTTTTAATACAGTTTTCAGTTAGATATTAAAAAATGTTTTCAAGTGAATCTTAAATGTAATAGCTACTGATGCATTTTCATAAATTTTATATTAATTTTAATAAATTCAATTTTAATATTTTTTGCGTGTTCAACAAAATCTAAATATTTGTTAATTTAATATAACATATCAGTGGAGAGTTTTTTGAAGCAAAATTTATGAAGTATCATCAGATAAGAATTTTGAAAAATCAATGTAGTATTGTTTGAAGATCAATCACTAATTTCTAAATTTGTGATGTATTATTACAATGTACATAACAAATTAAAACTTTAGACAAAGACTACAGTGATACTTCACTTGACAATTTAAACAAAGATTTTTGTATCAATGCACTGATATTAAATATTTTAATCTAAATAATCATTCCGCAAATGCAATATTTAATTTATTTGGATATGAAAATGCACACATGGGTATTGCAAGACACTTTGAAACAGTATTTTGTTGCCAAATTGATTTAAATAGCCTGAACAAAACAGCTAGATGATTAATTTTTAAAATTTTCTTGATTAAAATGCTTTCGTCTACAGGCAGTTTCAGATTTTATATTACAATGATGATAGGAAATACTAGATTCATTCAAAATTACATATGAAGAAAAATGTTAACATATTACCTAATCTTTACCTTCTACCTGTATAATGTTTATTATCCTTGGAAATTCCACACAGTTTAAGAGCAGAAACAACAATGTATGTATTTCCTGTTTGCATGCAATAGCCTACTAACCATTACCAATTCATATATGGTTTATAAAAAGTTATAATAAACTTTCAGCACATTGTGCAATATATGTCTGATTTACTGCAAAATAAAAAGCTTTAGTCCCATTTCTAAATATTACATATTGTACTAAAATAGTTTAAGTAAAATAATGTTCTTGAACCTAGCTTCATTAAGATAGTTTTTAATTAACTATTTCTGATTTTGCATAATAAATATTTAATAAAAGAAAAACAGTTTAACTGTAAATTTAAATTTAAAAAAATATTCAATTCTGCATAAGGTTATAATATTCTAAATTTACAACTCATGATATTGTTATAAAAAAAGTTTTGAAGAAAAAGTTCTGGTTAAGTCAGTTCTTAATTCTTGATTATGTAAGAAAAAACATGTATATTTCAAAAAAGATTATATATTACTCATACATCAATTTAAAAAAGAAATGAATAAGGATATGTGTTATTTTCATGTAATGTGTGACATGACTAACGTTAAGATGAATTAACAAGATTTAATAATCATGTAACAAACTATTTTATCAGTTTAGTTTTTTCTTCTGTTTATATTATAAAATACTTATTTTTTACATAAAGTATACATCATCTTATACTCACACATAAAATTTGCAAATCTTCAATTCAAATATTCGTCAAAGTCTCTTGCTAAAGATAAGAACCTGCAATAGAAAATTTTATAAATTTAAATTCATGTACAAACATGCTGTCAATAAAATTACATTTAAATATTTTAACTGGCTAAACTAATTGTTTCAAATGAATTATATTAAATATTTTAAAAACAATTTTCATTAAAATAATTTCTGCATAAAATCAAAAAGCACCTTACTAATATAACAGAATTCCGATGGTTTTTTGTCATTATGAATTTCATTCTAAATTAACCTTGTCATGTTACTCATGTGTAAAGTACACTATTTTTAATTTATATATTCAACAAATCAGTGATATCTATATCAGCTGACAAAAGAATAAAGTGTATTTTATAGTTACTCCTTTCTTAAACATGTATCACACCTTATACTTTACAGTTGTTTATTACATTTGTGACCCAAAGTCCAGCATACTGGACACTAATTTGCATACAAAAATTTTATTAAAAGAAATTATTTTTAATACCATTGTGTTTTAAGCACTTAGCTTATACTTCTATATGAAAATCACTTGGCACAGTTTTTCTTCAGATTGAAGAGGTTATAAATAGCAAATTTAAAAACGTGCAATACTTCTCACAAAATATGAATTCATTAATTACACTCAGAAATATTGCCTAGGCCCGTGGGCTCCAAAGTGGAGTATGCCAAGTTTTCCTTCAAAATACTGTAGGTGTTCTGTACAGTCAAAATACTGTAATTCTAATTCAAAATGTAAATTTGTAATTTAATTTAAAGTATGTATGTTGTTTAAAATAAATAAATAATTTGATTTTTGACTACACACAAACAGACACACACACTATATTATATTATAGGAGATACAACTTATAATTATTTTTGTCTCGGATATGAGATCAAAAAAGTTTGGAGATCACGAGCCTAGACAATGTAGTACCAAAGATTTACGAGATGTTGCAATGTTGAAATAATAGATATTACGCAGTAAAATATTCTAATGTGTTATAAATCAATACTAGTTCATATAACTTTTTCTATGGCTATGAAAATTTTTTATATATACACATGTGTGCTTTTGTGTTTAAATAATTTTTATATTTTAAAAGTAATTCATAATGGAAAAATAATTATACTAAAAAATTTTTTTACCAACAACATAGAACATTGTCAATCTGAACAGTATTGATGTTACTTATATTTTACTGATTATTTCAGAGATGAAACCAAAAACATTGGTTGACTTTAAATTTGGTATTTTTGTACAATAAAATTAGGTAGTTTTAAATTTAAAACTATCTAATTTGTTTAAAAAAACAGGCTTAAAAATCAACACATTTTTCTGTTGTGAAATTTATGAACAACTAAACAAAGCCTATGTAGGCAAGCCACCATTTTATGTATAGCTTAAATTCATGGCTGTAGAGTTGGTACACAAACACTGAACAGCTACAATTCCTATGGTACCTTTGACTAATTTATATATCAATATAGGATATTAGAAATTATAATTTATTAGTAGTCAGCTCATCTTTATTGACTCCAACAGCTGAAGAATTGCTGCTGACTCACAGCACTACTTAAATTACTATAAATATAATATTAAGTGCAGCTAAAAATCACACATTAGCATTGTTTCCAATTTACATTTTAATAATCTTAAAATATTAACATCAATACTATACACAGCTTTTATCATCTGTTAATCCTACAACAAATAAAAATAATCATCTTATCACAGCTGTGCTATAAATAGTTCTCATTCCATTTACTCTTGTACATAATGAAATTGTTTATTTTTACAGTAATTATCATTCAACACGCCTTGATCATTTTGATATGCAAGACTAATTTTTGAATGTTTCTTTATGAAACTTCTGTATGTATACCTTGCAAATTGCTATTTAGCTGAAAATTTGTATTTATCAGATATTTCAAGAGAACAAGTATTTATTAGATTTAACAACTATCTTTATCAAGTAATGTAAACTAGAAAATCATAAATATATGTTTAGTCAAGTTTCATGTCCCAATAATACTAGATTTATTTCTGCATCTCATTTTCTGAGCATGTTAAGATGTTTGGTCACTATCATAAAATGTTACATGGGAAAGTCAAATTAAATCCACATTGCAATATCAACTAAGGACATGCTCTTTTTTAAAGAAAATATAGAATGACTCATTTTACTCTTCCTATCCTGTGGGCACTAAAGGGTTACTACACCATTATGAGTCAGCCAGGCTTACAGTGTAGTTGAATAGTAAGGACCTGACTACCACAAAAAATCCTTGAGGTTTTTGACTTTATTGCATTTATTCCTGGGTCCCCTGGAATGGTAGGCTGACACCAAACACTCAGCCATCTGGTTGTCCCTCTTGTTGTTATTGAAGTATAAAAATGATGTATTAATATATCAATAAGCATAACAAGTTAAGAGAATCTTCTCAATCTTTTAGACAAACAATTTCTTCTCTAAGTGGATCACAACCATCGAACATACTAAAAGTTGTCATTTTTCATCTAAAAAACCTACCATCTGTATCATAGTACTGACCAAAAGATTAGGCCTGCTTGAAAATATCTGTCAGGTATCTTTCATTATTTAAATAACAGATTAGAGGAAAGAAATCTTGTGTATGTAAACTTCTGATTTTAAGTCCATTTCATTCTTGGACAAAGAAAACTAAATAGCAAATAATATCACAAATACCACTTAAAATAATATCTGATTCATCTATGTTAATAGTTTATAACATGGCTCAAATTCTGCCCCATTCTCATTTTGTATTTCAACAAAACAAGTCATCAAAATTTTCTACTTTTCCCCACAGCCAAGTAGGTAACTTATCTCCCCCTCTTTAGTTCCATACAGAAAAGACAGTTTAACAAAAATAAAATAAATCCTATGACAGAGCCAAACACAACTGAATATCAACACAATAACAGCATTAAATAAAGCATTACAAAATATTCAATTACCAAAACTTCCTTCTGCATATGTTTCTTATAATAATCATCCATCTGACTTGTACTGCAAGATAAACTGCACCAGTTCACCTATCAGTATATTACTGGTATTTGATATTATTGATTAGCAATATGATATTTTCCACTATCAAAGTCATAAGAATGAATACTTTTCAATATTGTTAAATTTGATACTACTGATAATTGGAATTACCAAAACTTACAATTTAAGATAACTCAAGTACTGAATGTTTTATACATTTGTCAAAATGTTATATCTCTTGGAATAATGCTTTATTTCCTTATGTCAATATTTTTTGTTACTCCTATAATTGGCTCCCAAAAACACCTACCAAATAGGTGACTACTGTAAGAAATTTGGATTCTAAATTATAGGTTGAAACTTAATGTTGTCTATATGTTCTTGGAAACTGATATTAAGCTAAAGTAATAAAATCTATTTTACTCTAGGCTAAATAATACAAACAAGATACAATTAGTATAATAGTAATCAAATTATATTACAATCTCCAGCATTTATTCCCCACCTCATAGAATTAATTTTGCTATTTATAAAGAAAATTCAACAAATAATTTAACAATTACAAATGTACTTTTATGTTTCATTATAATATCTTCAAGAGAAGAATATTAAACAAAACATTAAGTGAGGACTTACCATAAAAAAATAGTTCTGTTTCTATCAAATCATAGGCTAGAAATGCCTGAAAACCTCCAATTTTTTTAATGTATTACCTTAAATGCACTGTTATCCACACAACAATGTTCGAAAATACTCAATATTTGAAAAAAAGCATTAATAATCAGACATGAATTAAACATAAAAACGGCAAATGCAACACAACATTGTGTACAATTTATGCACACATTTAAAGTCCATCATAACACTTTATAAATAAAATGCAGCACTTTCAAAATCACTTTGATGTTATTTTTATAAAATAGTTTAAATTCATAAAATAATCCATATAAGATTTTTAACATTCAAAGATTATAATATAAAGCACAACCATGGCCACATCTATATAAAAGCAGCAGTTTATCATCTTGTTACAAACCACAGCCTGCATAATTTTTCTGAATGCAATCATTTAGGTGTATGCAATTTTGTGTATTAATCACGACATTCCATTTCACATAGCATTTGAACAAACCACTTTATCTAGTGAACATGTATGCCCACATCCATACTTTCTCCAACGTGTGCTTCATAGTCTGTCATCTTTTGATGGTTTGTAAAAATATCAACAAGAAACAGATCATTGGCAAACCATTTTGCAAATCTTTGAGCAATGTCAAATCTCATGCTTCAGGATATCTTGCCGTATTCAAACTAACTTATCCAATGGTAAAATAATGCTGGTACATAATGTGGACATAAGTGTATGTGCCTGTGTATAAATGTAGCAAATTTCTATTTTATTATTATATAACTAGTTGAAAACTACTAAAAATCAAGAAAAATCTAAATATATATAACTCAAAGGTGACTGACTGACATAGTGATCTATCAACGCACAGCCCAAACCACTGGACGGATCGGGCTGAAATTTGGCATGCAGGTAGATGTTATGACGTAGGCATCCGCTAAGAAAGGATTTTGATCAATTCTACCCCCAAGGGGATAAAATAGGGGATGAAAGTTTGTATGAAACTTTGTCAATTTTAAACCGATCGGGCTGAGACTTTGCATGCAT